TATTAAAAAATCTATTTGTGTGGGCAGAGAAGCTATTTTTTTTATGTTTTTGTTGTTGTATTGGGCTTTTAAAAATTGATAAGTCTCAATAAATAAATAATCAAAATTTGTGTAATAATACAGAACATTCCATTAAATTATTGTCAGTGAATAATGATCTAAGATTTCTGAAATATCCTGGTATTCTTTGTTCTTCCTGGTATGATGGCACCATATATTTTAATAGTTAACTTATTGAAAGAAAATGCAGGCATATTAAGAGTCTGTTTTTCATGAGTTGTTCTGGATACTACATAAATCTCTCATCAATTTAGAAAAAGCAGTACTCATTTTTTATAAGATTCATAACTATGTTTTATGTGTTCCAATTTAATAGACATGTTCTGTTTTCTATTTAACCCAGGATTTAGTTTCATGTAAACTGTTAGCCTTTTAGTTTTATCACCGATTGGGTATGCCAACCTAAGCAAACGAAGGCTAATAGCCTAGTAAATGTTCTATGGAGTTAAGGGTAGATTTGAACATTGTACTAAATTCTGAACAAACAAGACACAAAGTCCAGATGTTGTGGAAAGTTAGCAAATGACGTCAATTATCACATTCTGCATCTCCTGCAGAAAGTGGTGTCTTGACAAGGCCTTAGCCAGTCAAGGGCGTAGTTCCAAAGACCAAGAAGTGGATATGTGATCTGCAAAAATAACAATGAGAACTACCATTGTTGATTATTTACTTCAATCCAGGCATTTTCCTAAATGTTTTACATTGGAGGTAAACTGTCCCCAAACAGCAGCAATGCAATCTCACAAAGCAGTATCTCTCACCTAAAGAAAATGATCATAGCTTTGCTTTTAGTTTTTGTCTTGAGGAAGATTGCTTTTATAATTCCATAGAACAAAAAATGTTATGACCTATATATAGCAATTTTCAAGACTGATTTTATGTTCCATATGTTTTTCACAGTTGAAATGTTTTACCCACTGTGATGTTAAGATATTTTGTTAGGATCTTGAGGAAATCATATTTAAAATATTAGGTTGTATTAGAATATGGGGCAAGCATGGAACCGTAATTTCTCTTTTTAATTTGATAATTTACTCATTCATGATTATTTGTTGCTATAACTCCTCTGAACACATACTTTTGTAGGCATTGGAGATACAGTGATAAGCAAAACATATAGTTCCTACCCTCAAGAGTAATCTAGGGGAATTCAAGGGGAAGAGGAAGACACTAAACAAATAAACAAATATTTAGCATAGCTAGAATAAAACTCAGTTCAAAAACTCAGATGTCCAAAAAATATTTGCTATAGTTTCTGACTCCAAGTTTTCATTCAACCCAGCCAACAATAACAACAAACACAGTTGATGTCAGTCTCTCTTAGAGCTGGTTTTCCTCTCTTTCCCAGGGTGTGACTCTAGTGTCTTACTCTGTACCAAAGCCCTTCTCTCATCAAAGAGTTGTTTTTGCCTGGGTCATTAATCATCATCAGCTGCTCGTCCTTTTCAGTGCCTATGGATCTTTGCTTCTTCTACACATCACTCATTGCATGAGAATGATTTTTTAGGTTGACTATGGTCTCTTAGTCAATTTCCCAAATACTACTACTTAGGAACAGTACCTAGATCCCTCTGCTCAATAGGCCCAAAGACCTCCCTCTTTTACACATGCTCCACCCCTTCCTGCCGGTAGAAACTTCACATTTCCCTTCATATTTAAAGATACATGGGACAAATTTAGTCTGGGTGGGTGGTGGAAGCCTTACAGGAGAGCATTCCGAAATTGTTCTCCTGAGAAGATGAAATATGAACTGAGATCTGAAGGGTGAGTGAAAAGTGAACATATTAAAGGAGAGCTAGTGGTGGGAAAAGTGTTCCCAGCAAAAGAGTTACATGTGCCAAGAAAAAAAACAAACAAACAAACAAAAAACAGAAACACTAAGTTATGAGCATTATCACTTAGGAATAAACCTTAATTATTGAAGAATAAGTACCCTTATGTTTTGGTTTATAAGACCTCAGCAACCAAATAGGCACTAACAATTTGCTACACAATAGTGGAAAGTATAAAAGAACTGCTGAAAGCCTTGGGGTTCAGTTCAAGCCTGACAAGTCAGCTGCATAGCTTGGCAAGTTATATCACCTTTTTTAAGCCTGAACTGTATCATCTGAAAAATAGAGATTAAGAAAATAGTACAACTGCTTGCCTCATCTCTCTCACTGCTGTGAGGGTATACTGGGATAATGGACATGAAAGTGTTTGTATATTATTACTAGCATGCTGAGTACTAAATCTATTCTCAGTACAATTGAACAATTTCTTTTACTGAGCTCTTATTGAGACAAAATGACAAATACCAAATGTTATATTTCTCATTTATAATTGTATGTACCTACATAGACATGAAGTAAATAAACACTAAATATTATATACAATTATTTAGTGAATACAATCTTCCTTCAACAGGAAGAGTAGCTAACAATTTTTTCTCAAACAATAATAACATTTCTGTATGAAAGATGCCTGGTGGAGAATGACTGAATAAAATAATGAATATCTAAAATGAGATGAATAACAGCTGAGCAGAATTTTCAGTTTTTTAAAATGATGGTAAACTCCATACAATATCATCAGGAAGTGCAAATTAAAACAATAATGTAATAATACCATACACCTATTAAAATGGCCAAAAGCCAGAACACTAACAATACCAAAGCTGGGAGGATATGGAGCAAAAGGAAATGTCATACGTTGCTGGTGGGAATGAAAAATGTTAGACACTTTGTAAGACAGTTTGGGGATCTCTTACAAAACTAAATATGCTCCAGCAAATTATTATCCTTGGTATTTACTTAAAGGAATTTAAAATTTATTCCACACAAAATCCTGCACGTAAATGTGTACTGTAGCTTTATTCCTTTATTTATTTAAGTTTTTGGATTCCTAGAGAGCTTTTTGAAACTTTGATGTATAGATTCTTTATCATGGATGCAGTGGTTACATCTGATACTGATTTTATCTCATTTTAAAATTAATTAAGTAACATTTATTTGTGATACTGTGTATGATTTAGGGGCCTAAGTTCACACCTCCTCAGAAAGACATCACTTCAAACCACACCACCACCGGAGCACTATCTCCCTTTACCATATAATGTCCAAATATTTTCTCCCATTCGGTAGGCTGTCTTTCTGTGTCAATATTTCTTTCTCTGTACAGCTTTTTAATTTGAGATAGTCCCAATTGTTAATTTTTGCTTTTATTTTCCCTATTGTTGAAGTCAAGTACCCAAAAACATCACTGAAGCCAATGTCATGGGGCTTTTTGCTATCATTTTTTCCCATGTATTTTACGGTTTTCAGTCTTACATCCAAGGCATTAATTTACTGTGAGTTAATTTTTGTGGATGGTGGGACTTCCTGGTGGTGCAAGGGGTTAAGCACAGCACTATGAAGCTATCCGCAGCCTCTGCAGCATGAGTTCGATCCCCAGCTGGCCAGGAGCTACCCACATGGCGCAGCAGACCTCTCCTATCTCACCCCCTGCTCCCCTCAGCAGTGTATTTCAGTCAGTCTGCCTGTTCTGTTCCCCGCTCTGTCTTGGGTGAATCCTCTCACCCGTCACACCTCTGGCCTGTACCCCAGTTCCTGTATGCATAAATAAATCTTTTAAAAAAATTTGTGGATGTTGTGAAAGAGTAGTTTAGTTTCATTTTCCCACATGTGGCTGACTAGCTTTCCCAACATCTTTTCCATTGTATACTCTTGGTTTCTTTGTTATAGAATAACTTTCTATATTAATGTGGTTTGTTTCTGGACTCAATTCAATAGAATTTCTCAATTCTATTCCATTGGTCTATGTGTTTACTTTTGTTCCAATTATGTACAGTTTTGATTACTACAGCCTTGTAGCTGTAGTAATAAGTTGAAATCTGGAAACGTGGTACCTCCATTCCTCTTCTTTTTTGGTCAAGATTACTTTCACTATTCAGGGTCCTCTGTGGTTCCATATAAATTTCAATAACATTTATTCTATTTCTTTGAATAATTCCATTGAATCTATATACTATTTTGGGTAAGATAGACAACTCAGTTGCCCCCCCCAAAAAATGTGAGCAACTGAGATGGCTTTCAATAGGTGAATAGCAAATAAATGGTGGTACATTCAGAAAATGGAATATTATTCAGCACTAAAAATCCATAAACAGACATGGAAGAACCTTAAATTTACATTATTAAGTGAAAGCAATATGAAAAGGTTACATACTGTATGATTCTGATTACATGACATTCTGCAAAAGGCAAAACTATTGAGACAGTAAAAGGTTTCTGGATGGGGAAGGGAAAGATGAATATGCAGAGCACAGGTGATTTTTAGGGCAGTAAAAGTAGTCTGTGTTATACTTTAATAATGAATTTATGTTACGTGTCCAAATCCACAGAACGCACAACACCAAAAGTGAGCCATAATACAAACTAAGAACTTTGGTTGATTTTTATATGTCAGTGTAGATTCAACTGAAGCAAATGTTCCACTATGCTAGGTGATATTGACAATTGGGGAGGTTATACATTTGGGGGAGCAGGAACTATTTTGGAAATCTATGTACTTCCCTTTCAACAGTAGAAAATGTTATTAACCAAAAACTGCTCTAAAAATTTTTTATGGTAAATAAGGGTTTGCTAGTGAGAATCCAAAGTCAACTTAAAAAGTAAAATAATTCCTTCTGTAACTTCCAACTAAAAGATCTTAAAAATAAAAATTTGATACTAATCTAAAAGTATGAGAGATCTACAAGATAAGGGGTGTGAAGAGTAGAGCAGAATAAGTTCAGAACTTCTGGATCAATTGCCCAGGATCCAAGTAGAATAAAATAACTTTATTTTTCATTTAGTTCTGATGGGAATGAGAGTAGAACATGGATAATATCTTAAAGATTAAAAGTATTTTTTAAAAAGAAACTCATTTTTTTAATATTTTTTTATTTTGTTACACAAAATGTTATGAAAAGTCCAAACTTTCAGAAAGACAAAGAAGAATCACAATGAATCTTTAACAGTAGAAAACATATAATCCTTATAATTTGACCTATGCATTCAGTTCACCTAAAAATTGCTCCATTTCTTTGGAGTCATTCTTTAAAAAGGTAACTCCCATTGTTCCACTGATTTCATTCAGTTTTTATTAATATATGTAAGTGTTTGTCATCGAGTTTGAGTTTCAAGTGCTTTGTCCTCACTCCACTTAGAATGAATACTTTATAGAATAGGCCATATTGCCCTATGAGCTCAGTTAACAAAAGCAGGACTTGTTAAAACAAATGGCATGGGCTAGACTGCTAGCAATGCATATTTGGAGTAGTTGCTACCTCCCACTTATTCCTAGTTTCACAAGTTTGATATAGAACCTTTCATAAAATAACATTCTGGCATGAACTATCCCTCCAGACCTTCTGTTCTCTCTGGTTCCAGTCAAGTCTGGACTTAAGACTCAAAGCAGATTCTAGACTTGTGGAAGAAGGTGCCCAGACTGATGTGTCCCAGACTAAGTCCTTTCATTGAATTGGGGTATAACTCCTCCTGACCAAAAAATACAAATGTTGACATTTGTATCATGTTTTGTCCTTGTCAACTATTCTAACAAAGTTCTATAGTTTCAGCTGTCAGACCGAAGAGGCTCAAATTATGATTTAAAGTTCAGAATCCAATTTTCTTATAACACTAACAACTGCATAAATCATAACTATGCAAAAAACAGCCCAGAAAACAAATGATTTAAAAGTCAATAGAACTTTGTCTTACAGAGATTTTGATTTTAGTAATTTTAATAATTTCCAAGTTTTGCTTTTGAAGGAATACTAATTTTTTAATATTTTTGTACATTTTATTGTTTACATATACTTGGGATATCACTAAGAAATACAATAGGAGTATCTTTCAAAAAAATGAAGAAAATCCCAACAAAACTCTTAACAATTAGCTTAGATAACAAATTAATCACATATCTCTGAAATAAAGGTACATCAAATTTACATTCAATTTAATGGAAATCATACTATCAGATATTGTTTTTACAATTCGAAATCCCGACTTATTGCATACTAATCAGACTACTGGATATTAAACACTGTTCCTTCTTTCTTTAACCAATAACAAAATGATATTAGTAATGATGAATTATCCTTGTTGGTTTGACTTGGGTCCAAGCAATGTATCTATTACATTTCCCTGAAAGGAAAAGTCACACAATTACAATATGCAATAAAATATAAATTAAGAGGCAAAGTCTTTAAAATGCCATTTAAAACTTTTAAGTTAGTGATACACACATAAAGAGCTTCCAGTAAGATTGTAAAAAGGAAACAAACCAAGTTAAGTTTAAATAATAACAGTTACTTCCTAATATAAATCTGCTCTTTCCTATATGAAAGATTCTATATGAAGTTTGATAAACAATTTTATAAGGATTCAGTAAAGGAACACTTAGGCAGCTCCAATTTAGCCATAATGCTTAAGGCTCATTTTTCTCATCTGTAAAATAACTTTAAACCTTAATGGTATCTCAAGCTCTTTTCTGATCTGTAGTGCTTAATTAGAGAGCATAGAAGATCTAAATTTCTATGTAGATTGGCATTTTTATCTAATAATAATAATCTTTGTACTAAAGGCAATAAATTGATACTATATAAAAGAATGAAGCCAAAGATGGGATTAGAAGCAGAAAACTGCACTTTTTTTCCTACCACACAGTAAAGGTGATCTTGAAAAAAATCACTGATATCTTGGAATCTTGGTTTCCTTGAATATATAATGGAAATGTTAACACCCACTTATAAAGGTTGTTATGAAAATTGAATGAGTTAATATATGTAAAAGTGTTTTACAAACCCTAAAGAAATATATATGCTGTAGATAAAATTACATAAATCTTTTTGCTTTTATCTTATAATATGCTCTCTGTAGCATTTCCCCCATCCTTCAAGTACTGACACGCCAAAACAGTTGCCAAGTCGCAGAAATTCTAAATTCTTCTTGAGCCCATCTCTGTCTAGTTTGTCTCTTATTTGTGCAACTGTAATAGATCACTATTATAATTAATTCACTGTTGTATTTTAATGTCTAAAACACATTTTGTCACATAGTACACATTCAATAAATTTTTTTAGTGAATGGTCTTTTTCTGCTTTCATTGTCTTTTCACATTAATATATTATAAATATCTAAATATTACAGATTTATGTTTCAAAACACAATTTTAAAAATTTCACATTTTATTTTTCCTTTAATTTGGAAAAGTATAAATACCCAAATTACAGAGGGAAATATAGCAAACATTTTGTGTAATTAAACATAAAAGTAAAAACAGTGATATAAGTCATTTTCTGCCAAGTGCTTAGGCTGTCATTTTGTTCAATGCAACACTTAGACTCCAACAACCTATCCCCGTCATGTTCAGAAAGGAGCAGGTGGTTCAAAAAATGGTAAATGCTAATGCAGTGGTAAATCTTATCAACAGGAGCTATATTCACAAAGGTTATCATTGCATAGCTGAAACACAGGCCCCTGCTCATATCAAGCATCAGGCTGTTGTTACATCAGACCACAAATTCTGAGTTAGCAGGACAGGGCAGGAGGCAATATGGCGCAATATCAAATTGTAGTAATATTCTGGTCCTTGATCTTATCTGGGAGTGGCCAGGACTTTAGAAATCATCTCATTTAAAACTTTCATAGCCCAGGGATCAAGTCCTTCTGTTTTGCAAAACCACAGACGGAGAAGGGCAATGGGGTGGTGAAAGGGATTCTTGGTCTTAAATTTGCTATTGATCCTTATCTACATCCTATAGAATGAAATAATAAGCTTTCTAAAATGCTGGTTTGGTCTTGGTTAAACTTAATGGAGAGATTATAGATCATAAAGTTCCTTGATAAGATAGCTTGATAAGAAATAAGGGTTTCATATTAATCACATTGATTCTACAAAATACTATTATTTTAAAATTCTCTGAGAAGTTAAGGAGAAAGTTTATTACAGATGCCTTATTTGGTAGTAACTAACATAGAACCCTATAACAGCTTTTTTTTTGTTTACTCTTCAAGAAATGTAATCTAAACCATTAAAATATTATGTCCTAAAACATGAAAAACATTTGTTTTAGAAATTAATATTTATTTACTAATGCAAGGACTGTATTTGTTAAAAGATTTTGCTTACCAACATCAAAATTAATAACACACACACATACACACACAAGCTAGAAATGTTTAGTCTCTATGAACTTAGCCTTCTGCTCTCAGAGCATACTGCTAAACACAAAAGATGTCTCTAGCTGATTCAAATTCAAAGACAAAAACGAAATATTTTTCTTCCACAGTTTTCTACATTTTCTATTTTTACTAACTATATAACCCCTAATAATAAAGCTTTGGCTTTTGTTTTTAAATAATTTTTACATAATTTATTTATCTTCCTACAACATGCTTTTATCACTCATTTGTCATATTGACACACCAAAATATATATCATTAAAAACTTCTGATTGTAGTCACTCATGGAAATATACCATATTTTAGTTATCCAACCCTCCCCTGATGAGCATTTATGATGTTTCCAATTTACCAATATAGAAACAAGGCTGTTATGAACATTTTTCTCATTAGCATGTGTTTCAGGCCACTACTAATGAATTAAAAATAAAACTCTGGGTGATATATAGACTCCAAACAGATGTCATTTAAATATCTAAAAGAACTATAGCCCTGCTAGATAGGAAAACCCGTAGTAATTTGAAAATAATGACACAGTATATAAATGAATTGAAATCAATATAGTTATGTAGCATCATGGATTGGGATGCTTTAGAAGATGGAGGATATAGATAGTATGTAACTACTCTTTAGAAGACAGACAACTAGACCACTCTGGAGGGCACTGGCAAATCAACTGTAAAAAAAAAAAAAAAAAAAAAAGCTCAGCCTGTCAGCTAAGGTAGTAAAAATCCCCATCAATATTCACAGTCAATATGCATCTCAGCCTGTTGGGAAATAATCTCCAAAGTACTTGGAATGCTTTATTTGTTTCTTTATTGGGAAACACAAATTTATACTGAAAAGAATAAGGATTGTGATAGGAATGATGCAACAAATCAAACAGATCTTTTAGTATTTAGTGTTAAGTAATTTGTACATATTTGGCATTTTAAATTATTCAACATATATATGAAAATTTGCCACATTAGATCAGATTACAGATAAGCATAATGTCTCTAAATGTGTAATTGGATAATTGATCTAGACTTGAATAAAGAACAGAATAGAATTCTCTATTCTCAGAATAGAGCTATCTGTCTTAAACAATGCTCAGCAGAGGTACAAACATCTACAGTATCTGTTAAAATATCTTGTACTCGTGAATGTTTGATAAACTAACACTGTTAAAATATTTTATATCATGAAAAAGATAAACCATTTGAGTTGCATTTCAACTCACAGATTAAAATTCTTATGTAAGGAGACCAACGCCTTATAGGAAAAATTATGTAGTGTCATGATTTGGAAAACTGATAAAGACTAAAATGTATCCACCATCCTATCCCTAAGAAATACTGCTTCTACTATGTTGGTTTTTCCTCTAGTTTTTCAATTTACAAACATTTATTAAATAATTACTACAAGTCAGATACTATGCATGGGAATATAACTAAGAACAAAAGAGATAACATTCACCATTTACCACTCCTAGTACTTAGTAACTTGGAGGCTTATGTTCTTTACATTGCATCACATTAAAGATATTGAAGAAATGTAAATCCCTTGCATACTATGAAATTCCAACTGAATAATATCATTAAGTGATAAAAAAAAAATGCCTTTGAGTCTTACCCTGCCAGATTCCAAAGCAGTAGGCATATTTCTTAGTTCATACACAGCAACCTGTCCATCACTGTCTCCCACTAAGAGGCAGTCTGTCTGTTTGGCGAAGAGAACAGTTGTATACTTGATTCCAGGGTTAGCAAAATGTACAATCAGAGGATCTAAACTGCAATGAAATATTTTATTTATAAATTTAGCTGTTGTTAATATGTTCTTTTCATACATATAGACTAAGAAAAGTATGAGATATTTTTGTGATTTCATGTAACAGAAACCAAAAGTTTATTTGTATGTTTCCAAATACTACTACTATTACTACTAGTGCTACCATTAATAATGGCTTCTTATTCCTTATTCAATCAAAACTTTCATGTCTTCAATGAATTCATTTCAACTAGGTAAATTAGAGCAATTCACACTTAAGATGTAGACTCATAAGTTTAAACTTCTGTGATTGTTAATTTTGTATATTCATTTGGCTAGGCTATGGTACCCAATTGTTTAGTTAACAGCAGTCTATGTGTTTTGCTGTGAAGATATTTTTTAGATGTGATTAACATTTCAATAAGTAGAAGTTGAATAAAACAGATTATGTTCCCTAATGTAGTTAGGCGTCATACAATTTGTTGAAGGTTTTAAGAGAAAGTAACTGAGCTCCCCACAGTGGAATACAATTCTCCAGACTGACTTTGGACTTAAGACATGGACAACTGATAGAAATTCCATCTTGCCAATCTGTTGGGCAGATGTGGGATTTTCCAGGTCCTTCTATCATCTGAACCAGTGCTTTACAATAAACTTACCCACCCCCACCTTTATTGGTTCTTTTCTCTAGAGAACAATGGCTAATACAACAACCCCTTAAGTAACAAATGTCTGTTAACAGAAGAATGGAAAAATGTTTTGATCCACATGAACTTCTGGAACATGAAAGGATATTTTTTGAACAAGAACTTCTGAACTTTTCCAAAGAAATTCACTGATGCCCTTAAGAAACAACAGAAGCAGCAACTGGCATAATACTTCTTCTGAAGAAATGCTGCCTTGGAAATTACAATTTTACCAGAAAAATTAAAACCAAAGGTGGAATCATTTATGTAATCCCTTTATACAATGTACAAATGTATGAGTTATCACATACTCAAAAATAAATTGTTTTGTTATGTAAGCCTTGATTTGGGGTTTAAACTGTTTCATAGGACATGCCATGATAAAATTTTAAAGTTACTGAATTATTAACTTGTATGAAAAAAAATTTGCTATTAAGAATCATTTATTTTAAACAAGACTATATTTCCCTGTTCCTGTGCTAATAACTAGCATAAAGATCCACAAGACTTGCCAATGGAAGAAGTAGAATCATTACACAATTTATTCCAGTATTATATAAACTTCCATATTAAAGAAATACATGGTCTAAATAATACTCTAATAACTTTGGTGTAGTGCCTTAAATTAAAAATTTTAATTAAATGCATGCCCATTGAATATGTTTGAAAATATGGTAAACAGAATAAGTAAATATTGTAAAAGTAATTATTTTGTTCCCTTTTTTGTATTATAAATAATCCCTAGTTGAAAACAACTAGCTGCTTCTCTGCATTCTTATACAAACCACACAATGAAAAAAGAATTCAGGTAGTTATGATATCCAATATCAGCCAGAAAAAGTCCAAGGTGAGTAAGTTAACCTATTTTCATTCAAATATTTTTTAAAACACAAATGATGTAAGTAACATTCATATAACATCCTGGCATGTATCTTTATTCACAAAGGACTCTTAAAATACAAATTATTGCTTGCTTTAAATTAATTGTTCTCTAATTGATGTAAAGTCTATCAGGTATTATTTAGTTTGAACTGTTTCTACTAAAAATATCCCCAAGAAAAAGATTGACACTTACATGCTAAAGTGAAGGTCCCAAATCTCTACTCTGTTCTCATTGGCAGCTGCAAATATATAGGATGATTTTGGAGACCAAGCAACATCATAAACAACATAAGTAGTTGGATAAAAAGTCAAAAATGGCTTGAGATGATCCTGTTGCCATAAAATAATACCCCAATCTGCGGAACAGCTTAAGAATACATCATGACAAAATGGATTCCATACTATTTTATACACTGGACCCTAAAATTAGAAAATATATAGGGAAATGACTAATCATTTTATAATTAAAAATTGAGCAACAAATTAAAAATGCTAAGATTTCTAGAAGTATCGTGAAGGTATTATTTTAGCTGAGAGTAAGGTCAAATTTTAAAAAAGATAAACGCGCAATTTGCAGCAACATGGATGGCACTGGAAGGAATCATGCTCAGCGAAATAAGCCAGAAAGAAAAAGAAAAATACCAGATGGTCTCACTCATAGCAGGAATCTAGAAAACTTAAATAAGGGACCAGGAAAAAGAATAACTATAAGAAAGAAAATATCAAAATCAACAAATAACTATGAACAAGAGACACTCTATGGGAGGTGGGGGGTGGGGAAAGGAGCGCTTGGGGTGAAAATAAGGGGGTTGTAATTGTATGGGGAATATAAAAATAAAATTTAAATTAAAAAAAGCAAGCAAAATTAGTTGAAAATATGAGGAATTAAATATTATGTTAAAACAAAAAAATAAATAAATATTCCCTAAATTATGCCATATAAGAATACAGATGTTACAGTAATCACTAAGTATTAATACATATTATATTTATTTACTTAAAATATGTGAACATTAGGAAAAAACAGAAATGAGAAAATGAAGAAAACACAGATGAACCAATCATAAAAGATTAGAAAATATGTACATGCAAAAGACCATTTTACTTTGGGAGCTGCGTGTTATTGTAAGCAAACTACTTTTTTTTGTTGCTTTTAGGAGCAAATAAAGATTATGACTTCCATAATTTGCAAGAAAAAAAATCAAGGATATCTAGAAACCAAATAATATGCCTCACACATTATTGGTAGTTTCTATACAAAAAAAAAAAAAATCAAATTTTCTATATCTATTATGATTAAACTAACCTTATGTCCTCTGTAGGTTTCTAGGTATTGTTCATTATATGAACAAGAACATTTGTGAATATGGCCTTCTTCAGTGCCAGCCAAATAGATATTGGTATCCTACAACACAAAAAATCACAATGTATTGGCTTGTGATAAATTAGAAAATGAGCTAAAAAGAAGAGGGCCTCCCTGGTGGCTCACGCAAGGGGTCAAGTCTCAGCACTATGAAGCTATTGGCAGATACTGCAAAACATAGTTCTATGCCTGGCCAGGAGGTAGCCCACATGCTGCAGCAGACTTCTCTTGTCTCAACTGTTGCTCCCCTCAGCAGTGTATTTCAGTCAATCTGCCTGTTCTGCTCCCCATTCTGTCTCTGGTGAATCCTCTCATCCCCAATCCCCGCACCTCTGGCCTACACCCCAGTTCTTGTATGCATAAATAAATAAAATAAATCTTTAAAAAAATAAAAAGAGAAGACCATTTAAAATCTATTAAAATTGACTCAATAACCAAAAACAGAAATACTATCTTAAAGATAAATGATGTTTTTTTTCTATCATGGTTTTGCAATAATTAAACTGCCTGAAGGAATACAGTGCAAAGACAATCTAGGTTTGTTCTTTGCTAAACAGTGGGTAGCATTTAGCATCCTATCTGAAAATTACAAGAACAAGCGCTAGGTTAACTGCGAAAGAAATAATCTAACATTTAGAGTGACGTAACAATGGAATTGTCAGTCCAAGAAAACATTAAGTGTTCTTTCATTATAATTAGTCAATGAGAAAAAAGATACCTTAACAACATTTATTGCTGAAGAAATTGTTTTCTGTGGGAATGAGAGATTAACCCAGATGGAGTCTTGGATATTTTAACTCTAAATGTATTCTCTAAGTTGGGAGTTTAAATATATAGTGAAATCATAGTCAAAAGTCTGAAAGTTTTGGCTAGATAAGAGTCAGCATCACCTAAAGCATTTTTGAGTTGTAGAATATCAAGCCCTATCCCAGATCTATTCAATAGATTCCCAAGTAACTTGTATGTATATTAAAAGTTGAGAGACACTGATCTAATGAAATACTCAGGAACACAACTACTAGATCATGAGATATATGCAGTTTCGAATTACATAATAAAGTATAATTTTTCCCCAAAGTAGTAGTATTAATTTCCTTTCAGCACTATACAAAGTTCTCTTTGATCCACATTTTCTTCAATAGTTGGTTTATTAAAAACCTTAAATTTTACTATTCTGTATAATGTTATATTACACATAGGTTCTATTTATGTGAATGTTAATAAGGTTGATCACATGTTTATTAGTCACTTGTAATTCCTCTTCTGCCTGTATCTGTTGACCATTTTACTAATAATCTGTCTTTTTCATATTTATTGGTACAAATTCTTTATATATCCTATTACATATGTTTTGTCTATTACATATGTTCCAAATATCATTCTCCCAGTGTTTGGCTTATATTTTTACTTTCTTAGTATCACCTGATAAATGGAAGTTCTTATTTTAATGCAGTTTGTATTACTTATTTTAATATACTTAGCATTTTTGTTCTTTAAGAAATGTTTCTTACTTTGAGGACATATTCTATATTTATTTTCTAAAAGATTTTGGTGTGTGACTGGCAAGGATCTAATTCCATTTTTTTTAATGGATAATGACTATCCCAATGGCACTTATAAGGAGATTATAGATCATCAAGGTCACTGTCTGGAGTTTGGATTCCTTAGTATATTACTCCTAAGACATGCAAGAGGGTAATTGGGTAGTTGTCCCAGGAACAACCTTTGAAGGAAACAGAAATAGAGATTTAAGTTGAATTATGAGGCAGTTGAAACAGAGGTTTCAGCTTCTAAATAATTCATCCATCAAAGAACAAAGCAAAGGAAAAATTGCAAAGTATTTTGAATAAAATGAAAATACATAACCCATCAGAGTTTGATGGTTGCTGCCAAAGTAGCACCTAGGGGAATCATTATAATACAGATGCTTATATTAGAAAAGAAAGGTCACAAAATCAGTAGTCTCAGTTTCCACCTTAAGAAACTAGAAAAAGAAAAGCAAATAAAAACAAAGTAGAAGAAATAAAAGAATAAAGATCAAAATAGAAATTAATGATATGGAAAACAGAAAAATGGTGAAAGTCAAAGAAATAAAAAACTAGATCAGTAAAATGGATAAACTTCTGTCAGACTAATCAGAGAAAGAGAAATTGTACAAAGTGCTAGTATTCAGAATTAGGTGACATAACTAACTATTTTACAGCTATTAAATGTTATTATGCCACTAGTATAACTTAGATGGAATACACAAATTCCATGGAACATACAAATTTCCAGAACTCACTCAAGAAGATAGCTATAATAGCTTTATTTTGGTTAAAAATTTTAATTTTTAGTTGAAAGTTTAAAATCACCCCCAAAAGAAACTTCCAGGACCAGATGGCTCATTATTTCTATCAGATATATATTGAAGAAATAATATTAATTGTATGCATATTATTTCAAAAAGTAAAGAAAAGGAAATACTTTCATTATATGAGGTCAGGGATATTCTGATATCAAAATCAAAGACATTATATGAAAATTATAGATAAATATCCCTTACAAAGAGACAAAAAATCCTATACAACAATTTAGCATATCAAATCCAACAGTATATTAAAAGGGTATAAATCATGATGCTCAAGTAAGTTTATCTCAGGAACATTAAAAAAACTAAACAATGCAATTCACCATATTAACAAACTTAAAAGAAAAACTATATAATCATTTTGATAGAGGCAAAAGGAGCATTCAACAAAACCCCAACATCCATTCTTAATTAAAAAACTCCCTACAAATAATAATATAATGGGAATTCCTCTACCTAATTAAGTGCAACTACAAAAAAAATCTTCAACTTATAGCATACCTAGCAGTAAAAGACTGAATGCTTTCTCCCTAAGGTCAGCAACAAAACAGGGATGTCCATTTTCACCACTTCTATTCATCATTGTACTGGAGGCTCTAGCCAGTGCAATCAAACAAGAAAAAAATATAAAAGTAATCAATTTAGAAAGAAATAAAATATTTTTATTTGCAGACCACATGATCATCTCAAATTCCTTCTCAAATTCCTTATGCCAAGGACATTTCTAGGTCACCAGATTAGAATTTCTCAATCCGGCATTACTGAAATTTTAGGCCAACTGACTCTGTTTAAGGTGGAGCAGGGAACACAAATATCTTGTGCACTGCAGGATATTTAGCAGCATCCCTGGCCTCCATCCACTTGATGTCAATAGCATTCCTTACCATGCTTCACTAGCTACAACAAACAAAAATATCTTGATATTATGAAATGTCCTCTGGTGGGAAAATATTTCCTCACACACACACCTGCTCATACTGAGAACCACTGTTCTGGCATTTAGGTGAAAAGTTGACTATGGTAATTTGAGAATGAATGCAGCTATTATATGACCGGAATGGTAAAAGTGAAATGTAATAAAAGCCTGAATTACATTAGCAGTAGTATCTTGGACTGAAAGTATTGGGAAATACTTAGTTACTGGGAAATTAAGGTTTAAATATCATTTGGATGATAGGGTAGAACAGACAGCAGCTGAAGTTTTGGCTTGCCTAATTATGTAGATGATAGTATTACTAAAGAATTACCATATTACATATAACTGAAAACATATGAGATACATTTTCCTAAAAATCTGTCAAAGGACTAAATATTCCATTTCCAATGAACTTTACTAACTCTCCTCTGATTTGCTCCTGGTCTTCATAAGCATGAACTAAAGTAGTTTTCCTGATCCCCAGAATCATGAAAGTGGCCACTCACTTTGAAATACAGAGGGCTGTAGGGTGGATTTAGTGTGTATAAATAAGAATGACAGAGCTGCCAAGTATCCAAGAGGGCAGGGAAATGTATTCAAGTTAAGCATGCAGTTATAAAAAGGATCCTTCCACAGTTTCTCAGAAATATTCAACTTTCCTCCAGAAAGGAGATAAAAGACATAATCCAGCCAACTGGAATGTGACATCCTGCCTGAGGTTGGTAGCTATGTCTACATTTGTTATTTTTTTTACTTGTAAGGCATATTTTTTAAACATTTTTTGTCTTGCCTCATTTTTTAATACACTCCAATTGTTGGAAGTTGTTATACAATAGCAATTAATGGGTTTCAATAAATTTACCTTGGGATGAAAAGCAAAACACATTCCAGGAGCCTGTCGAGCTATCAAAGCTTCACCTTTCTTTTCCTTATCCCCTCCTTTTTTGTTGCTTGCAAAAGTAGTTCTCTTCAAACGCATCAAATCTTTAAAGAAAAAAATATAAAGAAAAAAAATCTTGCCATGTACCACATGAAAAAATATTGTAGATACCATGTTCAATTCAGCACATAACAAGAGAAAGATAATTTGATATATATGTATATGTTGTGTTTAATATATTTCTAAAGAGTTTTCTTTTTTTACCATGACAATTCAGTCCTTTCCGTATAACCCATTTGGAGATTCTTCCATCCGCTGATATAGAAACTAATATTTCTCTTTTGTCATCACCTGTTGTGCCTCGATCTTGTTCTATCCATTGTAGTTGCCATATAGGTCCCAAATGATTTTGAGGTGACTCACTAAAATAGAGAAGAATATAAACAATAAAAAGAAGAGTATAAACAATCACTAAAAATAATCATTTTGCCACCTCATATTTGTTGCTCTTTTTCTCATTTTTTACAAAAGGAAAATTTTACTGCCTTTAATATACTAGCTGTTATAATAGAAATACAAAATTATTTTCTTTCTTTCCACAATCTACTTATCTTACCCTGTTCATTCATTTTACTCAAAATGTATAAATTTAGTTTATATTAGATCACATTGAATGTATGTATCTTCATCTTTATAGGATTTTTTTCAAAATTAAACCAGTTATTTAAGTTATTTAAATCTTATTCAAGGTAAACAGTTACAACATCCTTTTGATTATATTTCAGTATAGCCCACTTGCATGATTTTCAATCTCTCTCTCTCTCGCTCGCTCTCTCTCTCTCCTGAGATTTTAAATTTTTTCTGAAGAATTAAAACCACTCCTCAGATTACTCATTTTCTTATCAGATTAATGTGTTGCTTTGTACCTATTACTGACGCCTTTGCTTTTTTTATACAAACCCTCCAGAACAGTCCTGATGCTTCATAAAGTTACAGCTATTTTTGATTATTTTTTAAAGTTATGCACTCTCTTCCTGGAAACAAGCATAAAGCACCATGCTTACACATCTATGCAAATAATTTCTAAGTAAAGCTTAGAGTCTCTGCTTTAACTATTTGTAATAGCCAAGCATGGCAACAACCTGCCCCCCAAACATACAAGTGGATCAAGAAGATGTGGCATTAATGCCATTTCTAGTTCTTGTTAAATTTATTCAAACATTGATATAAATAGTCCACCTCATTTTAGTCCCATTGGTATTTGGCCTATTATAAAAATCTAACATATTCAATATTTTTCACATCTAATTTTTTGTTTTTCTTAATATGCCTCCTCCATCTACCCATCCATGCATCCATCCTTATTCAAACATAGTATTGCTGGTACATGCCCCTTATTGTATGACATACTGAGGATACAAAGGAAAATAAGACTTAATCCTGATCCTTACGGACTTCCAGTCTCCTCTGGAAGGTATACATGTAAGCACTTCATATATAACGTGATAAGTGGTATGATAAGAGGTTATACAGAGAAATACAAAAGAAAGGAATAAGGTCCCCTGAAGGTGACCAAAAATGGTAAACGCTACAATCTTTGAATCTAATAAATAAGATGACTTCTGGATATCCAATGTACAGCACAGTGTTATTGTTAACAGTTATAGTATTTTTGAAATTGGTAAGAGTAGATTTTATGGGTTCTCACTGTAAAAAACGGTAACTGTGAGAGGTGACAGATGTGTTGATGAGACTTTAGTATTCATGTTACAAAGTGTATATGTGTGTGTACACACATTACAAACATAAACATGTATACACACATTAAATCAGCAAATATTATCTAATCATTATATAAATATATTTCAAATTTTGTCAATTATACCACAATAAAGTGGAAAAAAATAAAAACAAATAAGCATGAACTATTAAGTCAAAAGAAATTTGTTGGTGAGGTGGGTAGAGAATGTGATGAAGGAGATATTAGGATAGAGCATTTCAGCTGATGAGAAAATTTGCACAGCTAAATATTTGAAATATCATGGTGTCATTCTCACTAACACCATAAACATTCACTCAAACTCAATAACATTAGAGAAAAATTTGATTTCTTCTCTAAAAAGCATGTATTCCATGTTTGTCTAATTCTTGGATTCTCACCTACTATCCAGAACAGGAATGTCACTGTTGCTTTGTACATTATAAACTGCAATACTGCCATTGTGATAACCAACTGCTAAAAGGTTAGGGGATCCAATTGAAAAATCCACAGCAGTAACTCCACACTGACTCTGATAAATACGTTCTGGCCACTGTATAAAGAAACAATTATATTACATTTTAACTTAGTTTTGTATACCAAAATTAGGTAGGGTCCAAGGGTGACTGATAACTGACTAATCTGGAAGCAAGAGGGTGTGAGGAGAGTTAGTCTACATTCAATTACTCCTCTCTTTCTAATAAGAGTAAAACTTCAATAAATAATTTATTTTGATAATACCATGAATAATAGCTCAATAATTTTAAGAATACAATATACCATACCTTGGTCATCTTTTAGCTGGATTTGTATGATCATCACAGCCCTGCCTTCTTAAAACAAACAAGGGGCTCCAAACAAATTATCTAAGATATATTATTGCCTTTCATTATCTGTCTCAGATGCTTAGGTTATCTAATCATTTATAAATAACAAACAGAATAAGTGCCAAAGCTCTCTAATGTATGCTGTTGTACAAATCTGTCAAGTTTTAATGATTTTTTTTAAATGTCTAATTTAAATCCTTTCTTGTTTCTAACAACTACAAGAAAACAAGACAAACTGCTGATGACGCAACAGATATTAATCCTTCTAGATGTTGAAAATTGCTTCTTGATTTCTATTATTCCTTATAAACTCAGCTTCCTAACAGACTGGGGCTATTTATAAAATGCCTAATTATTTTTATATGCTTCTCTGATCCTTCTAAGTATTCCACTTCACATTTCAGTTGTAGATTAATAGTAAAGCTCTAAAATAACAGATTGATTAGCAAAACACATGATTGCAGTTCTTACTTATTCTCTTTGAAAAATCCATGGCAGTAAGATGGTCATATTAATCTATTTTATATCTATTAAAGATAACAGAAAAATGTCTTATGCTAAGGAATTATTCACTTAATAAGATACAACCTAGTATTAAATGTCACATGTAGTTTTCAAAGGATTTTTACTTACAAATATATCCTTTGTATTTAGCAGTGATAATCAATAACAGCTCAATTCTGCATCATCAGAGCTAACAGTACAGATGTTCAATAAATATTTATCGAATTAAATTTTGAATGAATTTTCTTTATTATATATTGACAAGAAAAATTTTAATCATTACATATTTAAAGCAAATAAAGTCTTGGTCAATAAATTTTTCTTGACTGTTTAATTATTGCATATAATTATCCACTTTATTGAAATTATGCCAACATTTAATTAAATAAAAATAGGTCTTATTCCTTTGGGTTACCATAGGATTCTTTATTGACCAGCAGCAAGCTAATCCTCTTTTTTGCTCTTTAAATCCGAAGTGCCCATAGCCAACAGCCAAAAGATCCTGAAAACCAGAAAATACACTTAAAATAAGAAAGGATTGTATAAATGTTGGTACATATATATAAATGGATATGAATTAACTGTTAAAAATAGTGGTAAGGCATTTTAATAGACAGGAGAAAACTGCAGTATTTCATCTATTTTTACTCTACACTTTATATATTCTTGAGCAAACAATGACAATCATCTTTTCAGACTGAAGAATACCTAAAAAGAACCAAATGCTAACAATTCCTTTTACATATTGAGGGAATCTTCCAAAATTGAATATCACATTATAATGTTTTATGGTTTTCTGAATCATTTCTAATGTAAAATAAAATACACCTAAGTCAAGAAAAGGTGCAAAGGACTGAATTGTGTCTACCTTCACTCCTCATAAAATTCATTTGATGAAGATTTAACCCCAAAGTGATTATATTTGGGAATAGGGCTTTTAGGAAGCAATGAAGATTTAATGAGGTCATAAAATTAGGGTTCTAATCCAGTAGGGCTGGTGGCCTTACAAGAAGAGGAACACAATGAGATCGCTTATTTCACCACATGAGGATACAGCATAAAGGTAGCTGACTAAAAGGCAGAAAGAGGGCCTCCCTGGTGGCGCAGCGGTCCCCGCCACCGGCGAGGATCCCACATGGTGCGGCAAACGTCTCCTGCCGTGCCCGCCTGCTGCTCCCCTCGGCAATGTACATCAGTTGATCAGCCTGTTCTGTTCCCCACTCTGTCTCTGCTGAATCCTCTCCACCCCCCCCCACACCTCTGGCCTGTACCCCCATTCTTGTATGCATAAATAAATAAATCTTTAAAAAATAAATAAATAAAAGCAAGGAAGAAAGACTTTACCAGGAACCAAATCAGTTAGCACCTTGATCCTAAACTTCCCACTCTCCAGACTGATGAAATACATTTCTGCTGTAGAAACAGCAGAATTAGTATTTTGAACAGGCACAAACTGATTAATAGAGTAGGTCATTTCAAGAAATGCTTATGTAAGTACACAGAGACAAAGTTTAATGTTTAACCAAATTCAATTTCTTCTGTATAATCAGAAAAACTTTATAAAATATATTATTGGATTTTCTTGTCACCCTATATTCCAGCTAACATTATGCCTTTACAATTTAGTGTGCGTTATAACACTCTTCACCACTAACCATTTTATTCCGACATTGACAAACCCTTAGTCATCTCTTCCAGACTCAACAAGAGGAACTCTTTCACTAAGATGCATTGACAAATCTCTCTTAGGTGCTCACAAAACACTATTAATTTTCCTCATCCAAGGACATACGAAACTTATATGAGCAGGGTCCATATATGACTTAATTATTATTGTATCTTTAATACTTTATAGTATGTGGCACAAAGTGGATATTCAATAAACATTTGTGAAAGGAATTCATAAATGGATAGATGCCATTTGCCAAATTTTTTGCTTCATTCAAAGTTATTTAACTTTATCCTCAATAGCAATATACTACCTTTTAAGTGGTAGTATTCTGTTTCTAAGAAAAGTCCATCTCTATTATGTTTATTGATTTGTGACATCCCACTTATCTCTAAGATATTCCCAAATATAGTCTTTTTTTTTAAGATTTATTTATTTATTTATACAAGAACTGAGGCACAGTTGAGATGCACAGGAGGGTGAGAGTATTCACGAGAGACAGAGCGGAGAACAGAACAGGCAGACTGATGAAATACACTGCTGAGGAGAGCAGCGAGCGAGACAGGAGAGGTCTGCTGCGTCATGTGGGACCCTCGCCAGTGGGCCGGGTCCAAACCGGAGCTGAGCTCAACCGCCTGCGCTACCAGGGGAGGCCCCCAAATATAGTCTTATAAGGCAAATATATGCTAAAAGTATTCTATTTTATCAAAAATAATTTACATAATTGATATAATGTGCTATTTAGGTTTCAATAAAAATGATTATAGCCCTGCTTTTTTGGTAAAGATTTATTTATTTATGCATATAAGAACTGGGGTACAGGCCAGAGGTGTGCGTGGTGGGGGAGGGGTGAGAGGATTCACCAGAGACAAAGTGGAGAACAGGACAGGCGGTTGACAGAAACACAATGCTGAGGGGAGCAGCGGGCAAGTCAGGAGAGATCTGCTGCACCATGTGGGTAGCTCCCTGGCCGGGGATCAAACTCATGCTGCTGTGGCTGTAGATGACTTCATAGGTTGTGTCTTAACGCCTTCATACATAGGTTGTGTCTTAACCAGGGAGGCCCAGCCCTTCTGCTTTTTAATAACCATGACAACAATGTCATGTTTGCACATAGCAACATATGAAGTTTGAAAAAATAATAAAAGTAATTCTTAAGCATATGTAATACAATATAGTTTAAATAAATTATTTTTTTACCTCTTAAAAAATATACTAAATATTTATTCCAAAGATACTACCATTAAACAAAAGGCTTTTCAAATCACTTTCTGAGAACTGTCATCAGATTCAGTTTAAAAAGCCCAAAGAAAATAATCTTGTCACTCTTTAATCATCTCTTTTACAAGCAAACATACCATTCCCCAGCTTGATGACTCATCTAATTTGCCATAAGTTGATTATTGGTAGTGTAGTAGTTAAGAGAATGAACTCTGGAGCCACATGTCTGGGGTTTAATTCTGGCTGTTTCACTTACTAGTTGTATAACTTTGGGCAAGTTATTTATCCTTTTTCTGCTTTAGTTTCCTCATGAACATAATGGAAAAAATAATATTTAACTCATACTGTTGTTGTGTTACCAGAAGTAAAATTCTTATAAAAGTCGTTGGAAATGTGTAACAGTAAGAACTATTTAAGTATTTCTTATTTTTACTAATAGCTTAAGGCATCTCAAAATTATTTGCATATAGGGTCACTGCATTAGGAATATACTTCTGAATAGGATTACTTTTAAAAGAACATGAATTTGGTTATGTGAATTGGAATATATTAAAATAAATCATGTATTATCTTTTGATATGGATTTGTTTGATATGGATTCACAGAATGCCATGTCCCAAAAACATGATGATGTTTTTATATTAAAGGAGAAAAATACTGTTTAGCTTAACTATTTGCATTTTCTTTTTTTGAAGCATGAACTCAGAGGCAGTTTCAAACAAATGGTTATGTCTATTAAAATCCCTTACCTAATGTCTGAGAAAAAAAATTCTTCATTAGAACTTAGCCGTTGAACTTAAATGTTAAGAGATAGGATTGTTAAATGTGGTGACTTACTGGATTTGTCTTATTCCAGACAAGGCTGCTCACATTAAGGCCTTTGGTTAACTCACAGGAAAAGGACCAAAGTCTTTCCAAATTGGCTGGTATTGTTGATTGTTCTGCACTTATTTCTAGATCTTCTTCCTCCTCCTTCTTAGTCTCTTCCTCTACCTCTCCAACTTTTTCAACTCTTAAAAAGTCTTCAAGCTCTTCAGGTTCAGGTTCTAAAATTAAATCAAATAAAAATATCATTGTTCTCTATATCTACAAGAGTCTACAAATAGCATTTCTACCACTGACACTTTAAACACCACTGATCTGCTCAGTCATATTACCTAAATAACAAGCACCTTGAACAATAATCTAGAACTGCTGCAGACTCTTCTGTTGTTATGAACCTCACTCAAAACTAGCACTTTTGGGGGTCCAGAGTAGCAAATCCAAATGAGGAATATGTTGCCTCCAAAATGCAAAGAAATTTACTTGGCATTGTGCCTATTTTCGTTGGTGGTAAGAAAAGGCAAATGTAGCAATTTAGCCTTCATCTTAGAAGATATATGGCATACCTAAACCACTGAACTCCTAAAAATTTTACTGAAGTGGGAACCCTTTGAAATTTTACCAAATTTACTTTTCAACTCTGCCATGCAAATGTCTCACTAATAAGACTGCTTTTTGTTCAATACGCTCAATCAGCTTAGTATAATCAATGTGATGGAACAGTATTGTGTTTCATTGAAGGAAAAGGTCTCTGCAGACTAAATTATGCCATGAAGTTGAAGAGTTTATATACTCCTGTGGTAGGATATTCAATGAAGGTGTACTGTTGACCTGGTCAGCTAAAAACAAATGAATTCTGCTGTTTTTTATCAATAAGCACTGAATGGGGGGTGGGGAGAAGGAAAGCATTCGTTATACTAATAGCTACATACCAGGTACCAGGGGATATGTTAATATGTTCAGGCAATGAAACCTCACCTGGAATAGCAGCTGCAACTGGAGTCACCACCTGGTTAAGTTTAAAATAATTCACTATATTATCCAAAATTCATGCATTTTGTTCACAAGGCAAACAGATGAGTTGAATGGGGGATTTTTGGGCAATCAACACTCCTGCATCTTTCAAGTCCTTGGTCATAACATTGATTGCTGAAAACCTCCAGAAATGTGATATTGGTTTAGCTTATTAATTTCATAGATAGAGGCATTTCTAGTGGTTTCCACTTAACTATTTCCTATGATATTAGCCCTCACTCCACAAGTCAAGTACCAAATGTGGGGATTCTGCCAGTTGCTAGGTATTTCTATTCTAAGTAAATATTCTGGAACAGGTTGGGGAGTGCCTCAGGATGAGCTCAGTGACTTAATGTGCCCACTGTGAGATGGACTGCAACTAAAACTCCACTGACTGATCACCTTCTCACTTTAAGTATTTACTCTGATTAGTGGGCCATGGTAATATTTTGGGTCTCCTAGTGTTAATGTCACTTCAGGACAGTATGCAACAATCCCTGAAAAGTCCTATACTCCTTTTTTGCAGTGTACAGTTACCAGAGTAAAAGGTTACAGGTCCCTTTTGAGAAGGTTGGTAGAAATACTAAACATTTTGGGCAGTGTAGTAAAGTAACTTTTCAAAGGGACCTACCCACCCCTTCAGTCAAGGAATTCTGGGCCTATAAAATACCCAAGTCTAGGAATTGGTTGAGAGGCTATGACTTTGTTTTGGTGATTCAATTTAGACCTGTGTTCACTTGACCTAATTCTCAGGGCCTCCGAATGTAATGATATTTGGAGACAAGGGCTTTAGGTGATTAAGCTAAAATAAAACCATTAGGGTGAGTAATAATCCAATATAACTGGTATCCTCATAAGAAGGGGCTATTTAGACTTCCTGAGAGATACCAGAGATGGGCATGTACAGAGAAAAGATTGTGGAGGTAGCAAGAAGGCAACCATTTGAAAACCAAGGAGGGAGGTTTTAGAGGAAACCAATCCTGCAGGCTCCTTGATCTTGGACTTCCTGCCTCTGAAATAATAAATAAATCTCTGTTGCTTAAGCCATCCAGTGTGTGGTTTATTATTATGGCAGCCCTTGAAAACTAGTATAACACCTATCCTTTTCTCTTCCAAGGACAACATGTCAACTAGCCAATGCCATGGCTCTCTGTGATTCAGGTCACTCTAATTACTGTTTTATCAGTTATGGTAACCATCTCCACTTTTTCTTGGGTGATTAAAAATTGGATTGGACAGCCCTTGCTATCCCAGGTCCTAGTATCCTTCTCTCTTTTTTGAGTATCACTATACAATGACAGCAGTTCCCACTGCAGTTTCTGACATCAAGAGAATGATCACAGCGTTCTTCAAGGATATCGGGACTTCCTTCCTTATTTATTTCTCATAGCCATATGAGAAATTAATTCTCACAGTCGTGAAGGGCATATTATCTGGAGCCTCTGGAGTGGGAAAATAGATCATCATGATAAATCCATTCAAACACTCCAATGATTCTAAGCCTTTGAATACCTTTCTCAATGTGTATCAAGGCAGTTCTAAATTTGTTTAATAAAGGTTACATTTTGGTCCATTATCAGCTAACCAAATACAAAAACCTATTAGAACCATTTCTAACCCCTTAAGTTACAACACTGAATCCAGAATCTCTTAGTTGACCCATGTCAATAAATTTGACCCGATCTGATTATTTCCATCATTATGCTAGACTCTTAATATCTATCCCCACATATATTCTCCAGATATCTGTCTGTATAAATTGGAAAAATCAGCAGTCAACTCTCCAAGAAGTCATAACAACCCAAACTGCATACGTATATAATAACTTCAAAATACGTGAAACAAAAAATAGGTCTAAAAAAAAAATCAGAAATTTGACACTGTTCTGTCAATAAACTGATGGAACAGACAGAACATCAGTAAGGACACAGATGACCTGAATATCACTAAAGACCAACTTGACTGAATTGACATTTATAGAGCACTTCACCCCAAAAATATGAAAAATACACAGTCATAGCACATTCTTAAAATAGACCACATTATGCACCATCAAACAACCTTAGCAAATATGAAAGAATGGTAATCATACAAAGTATATTTTTAGAGCACACTGGAATTAAGTTAGAAATCAATAATAGAAAGATAGTTACAAAATCCCAAAATATTTGAGTCAAACAATATAGTTATAAATATCACATGAATCAATGAAGAAGTCTCAAAGAAATTTAAATTTTCATTTTAAAATTTGTATTTGCATTTTTAATAAAATGAAATTATAACATATCAAATTGTATGAGATTCAATTAAATCAGTTTTTAGAAGGCACTATGTTAGAGTTAAATATATATCTGACCATAAAAGCCATTCATTCCACTGCTGAGTATTGACTCAAAAGAAATGAAAGCAAACGTTCACACAAGGACTTGCGCATGAATGTTCATACCAGCTTTATTGTAATGGCCCCAAATTGGAAACAAATATCAGCCAACAAGTGAAAAGTCAAATACAGTTTAGAATAGTCATCCAATGGCCTATTCATCAGTTAAAACAAAACAAAACACAACTATTAACACATGCAACAATATGAGTGAATCTGAAAATAATTTTATGCAGTGGAAAAAAAGACAGCTATAAAAGAGTACAGGGAGGGTGAGAGGATTCACCAGAGACAGAGAGGGGAACAGAACAGTTAGACTGACTGGGGAGCAGCAGGCAAGACAGGAGAGGTCTGCTGTGCCATGTGGGTAGCTCCCCAGCCGGCCTGGATCCACCCGGCACTGCAGCAGCTTCAGACAGATTCACAGTGCGGCACTCAACTGCCTGCATCACCTGGGAGGCCCAAATCGGTGATTTCTTAAGAATGTGTGTCAGTCTGGAACATAAAGGTCCTCAACAGTAGACAAATTGTTAGTAATGGACATAATTAGTAAGCTTGAAAGTACAATTTCAAAGAAGGAACAAATAGAACAACAAAGAGGAAAAAAAAATTTGAAAAAAAAATGAAAACAGTGTAAGAGCTTTTTGGGATAACTGAAAGAAATATCCATATCATGCAGGTCTCAGAAGAGAAGAGAAAGAGAAAGGGATCAGAAGTTTATTTAAAGAAGTAATTGGTGAGAACTATCTATATCTGAGAAATGAACTAGATGTCCTGATCCAAGAGGCATAAGGTGATACAAACAAAATAACACCAGACTGACAGACTTCACAATACATTATATGTAGAAAACATAGCAGGCAAGAAAGCAATGCAGGAGATATTTAGAGAACTCAAAGGCAAATATTTCCAGCATAGAAGTCTTGACACTTAAAGATGATCATTTAAGAGAAAAAGAAGGGTCAAAAACTTTACTAAAAAAGAAAAAACTAAAATGATTTATCAACACCTAGCTGGACAAGAAGTACTAAAGGAATTATTACATAGTAACAAAACAACAAATATAGAGGTAACAAACATCAAATGATACAGCATGGAGGAGGAGAGTAACAATATATCCAATCAGTAGAAATCTGATATTGGACTAGTCAATGGGTCACAAAAATTGTCTATTATATACTCAACCTCAGTAAAACTTCCAAATAAAAATCAACAGAAGTAGCCCATAAGACAACAAAAATGCAGTAGAAACAAAACATAAAAAGATGTCAAAAAATAAAAACAAACTAAAAAAAAATTTTAAATAGCAAAATGGCAATAATTACTTACGTCGCAATAATCACCATAAATGTAAATAGCTTTGATCCACCATTTAAAAGGTATAGAGTGACTCGGTGGATTTCAGTAGGCGTTGTGCAGTAACATACATCTGAAGAGGTGTGAACATGTAGCTCTGAATATATGCAGTGTTGTAAACCAATGTTACTTCAATTAAAAAGAAAGAGGAAAAAAGAAAACAAAAAAGTCCAACCGTGTTTAAAAGAAACACATCTTACTAGCAAAGACAAGCACAAACATAGAATTAAAGGCTAGAAGAAAATCCCATAAGCAAATAGCAAAGGGTTAGATAAAGTCAAACTAAAAAACTAATCCTTGAAAACTGACTATAGAACTGAGGCAACCAGAGGGGCAGAGGAAAGGAAGCAGAATGGACAATGGTGATAGACAATGGGTGCTTTGTTCTAAAATATGAACAATGACATAAAATATAAACAACCTCAATAAAGAAATTTTTATTTATTTTTTAAAGATTTATTTATTTATGCATACAAGAACTGGGGTGTAAGCCAGAGGTGCGTGGAGGTGAGAGGATTCACCAGAGAGTGGGGAGCAGAACAGGCAGATGTACCAAAATGCACTGGTGAGGGGAGCAGGGGGCTAGCCAGCAGAGGTCTGCCATGCGATGTGGGTTAGCTCCCTGGCCAGGGATCGAACTCATGCTGCAGTGGCTGGTGATAGCTTGATAGTGCTGTATTTAACCCCTGTGCCACCAGGGAGACCCAATAAAGAAATCAAAAAAACATTTTTTTAAATATGATAATATCAACAGATGCAGAAAAAACTCTAAATTGGGAATGGAAGAACCTCCTAAAAATAATAAAGGCATATATTACAAACTTATAGTGAATACAATACTTAATAGTGAAAGTTTTTCCTTTTAAGATCAGGAATAAGATAAGGGGGCCCATGGTCACCACTACTGTTTAATTTAATATTAGAGGTTTTAGCAGAGAAACCTCACAATAAGAAATAAAAGGATTCCACATTGGAAAACAGGTGAAAAATCACATTATTTGCAGGTGATATGATGTCATATATAGAAAATCCAAAAAGTTATTAGCAAAAATAAATGAGTACAGCGAAGTGGCAGGTCACAAAAGCAACATACAAAAATATGTTGCATTTTGATATACAAACAGACAAGAAGAAAAAGAAATTAAGAAAATAATTCTATTCACAATCACTTCAAAAAGAATCAAACACCTAGTAGTTAACCTAACCAAAGAGGTGAAGGACTGATATAATGAAAACTATAAAACATTATTAAAAAATTTAGATTGTGACATAAGGATATGGAAAGACATTCTATGCTCATGGATGAACACAAAATGACAATTGTGGCAAAAACAATATATAAATGTAATACAATCCCCATTGAAATAACAATATTTTTCAAAGAACTGAACAAAAAATACTAAAATTTCTATGGAGGCACAAATGCCTTTAATAGCAAAAACAATCCTGAAAGAAATGGCTGTATCATGTTATGTGACCCTAAGCTATACTAAAGCAATAGTAATTAAACAATGTGATTTAATTGGCAATAAATATAAGCATATGGACTAATGGAACAGAATCAAAAGTCCAGAAATAAATCCACATAAATATCAATACTTAATTCATAATAAATGAGCCCCAACCACAAATGGGGATAGGAGAGTCTCTTTAACATATGGTGCTGCCAGAACTGGAGAGCCACATGTGAAAAGATGAAGTTTGAGTGCTCTCTAACTCAATGCATAAAAATAAATTCTAAGTGGATTAAATAATTAGATATAATACCTACAACAATAAAATATACAGAAGAAAACATTGGCAATGTGTTTCATGATAAAGATGGTTTTGGAAACTCAACCCCTATAGCAAGGGAAATAAAGACAAAAATAAATAACTGTGATTACCTCAAATTAAAAGCTTTTACACAGTGAAAGAAAATATATGTAAATTAAAAAGATAGCCTGCTTAATGGGAGAAAATAATGACAGGAGGTTAATATCTATGAACTCCCACAATTCAACAATATGAAACAAGCAACCAATTAATAAATGGGCAGAAGACCTGAACAGACTGTTCACCAAAGAGGATATCCAGAAGGACAATATGGGAAAATGTTCATCCTCACTTTTAATAAGGGAGATGCAGGTCAAAGCCACATGAGAGATCACCTCACACCTGTGAGAATGAATAGCACACATAAAATAGACTCCAGCTACAAATGCTAGAGAGGATGCAGAGATAGAGGCACCCTGTTATGTTATCGGTGGGCATGTAAACTGGTGCAGCCATTTTAGAAACTAATCTGTATTTACATAAGAAAACTAAAAATGGACCCAATAACCCTATTCTTTGGCATCTATCCATGATGAAACTAACAACTCAGAAAATTATATGCTCTGCAGTGTTTACTGCAGCATTATTCACAATAGCGAGGACATGGAAACAATCTGAGTGCATGGTGATAGAGGACTGGGTCAAGAAGATGGGGATCAAGAAAATATTACTCAATGGTAAAGAAAGACAAAGTATTGCCATTTACCCAAAAAAAAAAAAAAAAGTGAAAGAGTTTGACAGAATTATGTGTAGTAAAGCAAGTCAGGATGACAAAGGCAAATAGTGGACATCCAGGGACACAGAGGGCAATCCAACAAAGCAAAATACTTCCATAAACTAATGGACACTAATAAGTGAAGTGAGGTCTCTATGGCTAAGAAGGAGCAGTGAGGGAGAAAGGGTGAAAGAGGCATAAGGGATGGTGCTATGGAAAAAATTAAGCTACAAAAATAGATGATAAGGCCTTCCTGGTGGCGCAGGGTGGCCTTCCTGGTGGTGCTTCATCGCACTGTGAAGCAATCCGCAGCCTCTGGAGTTCCGTCCCTGGCTGGCCAGGGAGCAACCCACATGGAGCAGAAGACTTCTCCTGTCTCACTCATTGCTCCCCTCAGCAGTGTATTTCAGTCAGTCTGCCTGTTCTGTTCCCCATTCTGTCTCTAGTGAATCCTCTCACCCTCTGCACCTTTGACTTACACCACAGTTCTTGTGTGCATAAATAAATAAATCTTTTAAAAAAAAAAGATGATGGATAGATAGAGAGATATAGAGAGACATAAATACAGAGATAAAAAATCAAAGTGATTCATTTTTGTAATACCTTTAAAAACAGGAAGCTGACGATAAGCTGCAAGTTTGGGCTGAAATATATTTTCCATGAGAACTCGTTCCATAAAAAATAAGTCCTGATTAAACCTCTCAGACTTCAATATTGCATCTGAGTGGTCTTCTTCATCATCTTGAATTTTAGACAGAATTACATTTTCTATATCCATTAGAGAACTAGCTTCACTATCTGCAAAACAGAAAAATGATGCAATGATAAAATAATCCATATAATTCAAATTTTTAGATGACATTTTGTTTTTATCATTTGGTTTTCCTCCAGTACTTAACAACTTAAACAGACACATATTGAATATCTGTTATGAACCAAGCACATGAAAGATATAAATATATGTCATTTTGGAATTCTTAACCACTCAAAAATGTAGTTTTTACAAGATGAGCAATGATAACCCCATGAAGTAATTTGTATCTTATACAATTTTATTCAAATTTAAATAATATTATCAGTCTTCATATAAAGGTATGATTTGATTTTTGCTTTATAAGAATACTAATGTGTTTGTTTTTTATTGATGCTATCTATAACAAATTATAAAAAAAGTGGATTAAAGTCATCAAATTTATTGTCTCAGAGACCTATAAGTTAGAGATCTGACACAGGGAAGTCTCACTGGGACAAAATGAAGTTAAAGGAAAGGTCATGTTCTTTTCTGGAGGCTCTAAAGGTAAATTAATTTCCTTGTCATTCCAAATCCTATAGGCTACCCCCCAATCTTTCCTCCATATTTTAAGATGGCATCACTTCATCTCTTTGATTTTCTGTCATATTCTCATTCCCTCCCCTCCCCTCCCGTCCCCTCCCCTCTCCTCTCCTTTTTCTGTTCTCTTCTCTTCCTCTCCCTCTCTCTTCACCACTGCTGGGAAAGTTTCTTTTCTTTTAAGAACCTATGACTAGATTGGGTCTAATCACATAATCCAGAAAAATTTCCTCCTTTCACATAATTATTTTGGAAAGAGTCTATTGCCTTATAAGGTAATATATTCATAGGTTCTAGGGACTGGGATGTGAAAATATTTGGGGAACTATTTTTAAGCTTACTATACCAATTAGAAAACTCTTATTTTAAAAAAGAAGAACATCAAGTAGATAAAATTTTCCCTCTGCTAAATACAATTACACCTAGAAATTATATATAAACCAAACATAGGAAGCCTTTGGAAACTGTTGAAAGAAGGGCAACTAGAATCTCCAATAATTAAAGAATGATAGAGTAGTGAGTTTCCTGAGATTTCTTTTTGTCTCTCATATTCCAGACAAGGAGGAACTTGAGAAGTCAGAAATTTGGAATCACAAATGGGCAGACAACAAAGAAACACCTCAAAAGAAGCTTCTTCTCAAAAGACCAGGAAAAGGACAGCCTTGCAAGAAAGAAAACATTTAGGTTCTAACCACATTACTCTACACAAATACCAAAGAAAAAACTATAGTCCCACCAAAGCCACAAAGGCAAAGTGGGGATTCTAGACTTCTACCCTTGCCAGGCTGCAAAAAGGAACCCCAATTTCCCAGTTATCCAGTGGTTGTGGTGTCAGAGAAGCCTCAGTAAGGAGCCACAACATTCATCCTCACCAAACATAATGACCAGGCTGCCCACTAAGCAATGTCAGTAGAAACCAACTGAGGGACATGGAATTCTATACTCACCTGGCAGTAGCAAAGTACCCTTCCTTTACTCCACTAGAATAGTCAGAATTGAACTGGTAGAGAGTCAGAACTTACATTTCTGCCCAGCAGTAATGAGGTCAACTCCCAGTCCATGGTATCATGAAAAGCATCTTGTGTAGTGGTAATGAGGTACTCTTCTCTCTCAGCTATAGATTTATCAATGGAAACCAGAGTTACCCTCCCACCTACGCCCAGCAGTAATAAGGAATAATGAGGAGATTCTCTACCTCAATATCACTAGAGTTCATTGGAGAACATAGAGTTCTAGTCCCACCTGGTAGTACTTTCCCCTGTCAGACTAGATAAATAAAATCTTCTAAAATGGAAGGCTTTAAAAAGATCCAGTCTCTCATAATATAATACCCAACATTTTGCAGTTTTAATTGGAAATGATTTATCATGCCAGAAACCAAGAAAATCTTAACATGAAATTAAAAAAATACAACACAAAGGCACCAATACTGAGATGACAGGGACATCTGAATTATTGGACATTTTAAGGGAACCATCGTAAAAATGTTTCAACAAGAATTTATGAACGCACTTGAAACAAAATACTAGAAAGTATCTTACTAAAAGTAAAAGTTCTTAGTAAATCAAGAGAAGGACCAAATGGAAATTTTAGAACTAAAAAAATGTAATAGCCATAATTTTAAAATGTAATGGATAGGCTCAATAGTAGACAGAGGTGACAAAGGAAAGAATCAGTGAACATGAAGAGAGAACAACAGAAAATAACCTGGAAAACAGAAAGAAATTAGCCTAAGCGAAATGACAAAGGCTCAGAGACCTGTGGGACTATAACAAAAGATCAAATATTCATATTATTGGCATTTTAGATGAGGAAGAGAGGATGGGATGGAAAAAATATCTGAAGAAATAATAGCTGGAAATTTCAAATATTTGCTAAAGGAGACTTTGCATACATAAGTATCTGAATGAATCCAAAAAGGATTAAACTAAAGAAATCTATACCTGGACACATCTTACTCAGACTTTTGAAAACTGAAGAAAAATAACTGAGAGAAAAATGACACCTTTCATAGACAGAGAAATAATGTGTATAACAGCAAATTTCTAATCAGAAAGCATGGAGGAGAGAAGGAAGTGGTACACACTTTATAGGGTGCTAAAAGAACAGAATCTCCAAACCATAATTCTACTGCTTTGAAATATTTCTGCTCTTTCATCCCAGGCTTGCCTGGCCCTCTCTGACCCTTTCTTGTAGTTCTCTGGCAGAAGGTGCCTGAGAATTGTGGCAAGCTTTTGGGCCTCAGCAGTCCTGTTTTGGGTCAGTCCTGCTTGGCTGGCACTTACCCACGAATGTAACCTTGAGTGTTTTATTAGGAAACTGTTATCTTTTTTTAAGAGTAAGAAAGAAGTACTAGAGAAAGAATCCTTGATATTCTTGATAGGTATAGAAGAAAAAAAATATTTTGCAGTTCAGAGTCCAAGATGATGTGAAAGAATAGCAATGCTATTTCTGAGTAAAAATTGTATTTTTCATGTTCCACAAGAAATAAAATATTATAACTGCTGAAAAAATAATTTATTCAAAATGTCATGTAAAAACATTCAAGCATAAAATGAATGAAATCTTACTTTTTTCTGTACTCGCTAGCACTCTTTGTTCCCGATCTTGAGGAGGTATACCTGTTTTATTACTTAAATCAATTATAGATTGTTTTACTGGTAAAGGTAAAAGCTCCAACGCATTATACGAATCATATAAATCCCAAGCAGTGGACATTATCCCTAAGTAAACAAAAAGGTAAAAGTTATTTTAGACCAAATTCTATTATTTTAGCTTATACTTAACAAGTCTTAAACAAAATCAACTATTAGAACAAATACTATTGTTTTACAACAATGGCAGGAAATAGAGATGAAAAAGAAATAAAACATGAATAAAATATTTTTTGTCAGGATTGTTTTGGCTATTCGGGGTCTGTTATGATTCCATATGAATTTCAGTTATGTTTGTTCTATTTCTTTGAAGAATGTCATTGGAGACTTGATAGGGATTGCATTGAATCTGTATATTTTTGGGGGTAAGATGACCATGTTAATGTTAATTCTTCCAATCCATAAGCAGGGATTGCCTTTCTTTTATTTTTTTTCTTTTTGAGCCCTCTATTTCTTTTTAACAATGTCTTATAGTTTTCATTTATATGTCCTTCAGAGAGAGAACATGACAAGTTCAATGCTGAATATCAGGTGAGAATACCATCAGGGTAAGTGGACTGGTCTATATTTTCTGTTCACCATGTCTTCTCTGTAGTTCTCTGTAGTTCGCAACTCTTCCTGATTGCAAAAGAGAGGTAAGAACACAGTATAAACTGCTGCCCTCAAGCCTGGAAAGATAGACAAATATAGGCAGCCAAGGATGATGGGAGCAGGGGGCTGGAAACAGCCATGAGAATCAGTTCTGGGGTAGGAATCACAGCTGAGTTATAATTACTAAATTGCTGGAGCTTGAATGTGGACAAATTTGAGCATTAAAAACTCCAAGGAGACCCAGTCATATCTTTATCTCAGGAACTTGACCGTATTCCCACAGTATCAGGAAAAAATAAATCCCCTTATGTTTGTGGCAGGGGGAGAGGTTTATTTATGCCAGAGCACTCTGTTCTTAACAAGGCCAGCCCTCAGAAAAAACTAGTTAACCAGTGGAAATTAGATCACACTTCAAAGGGAAAGGCCCACGAAAAGACTAAAATCCACTCAAGAAACTACTGAAAACTTGTCCCCTCTTACCTTACTAGTATATTATTGAAGGACTATTTATAGCAGTTCTATTTATCTGCAACATCATGTCAGAAAAATTACAAGGAATACTCAAAGACAAAAAACACACAACTCTGAGAGACAAAGCAAGCATCAGAGCTAGATCTGGCAGGGGTATTGGAATTATCAGACTAGGAATTTAAAGCAATGATTAATATGCTCAGGGCTCTAATGGATACAGTAAACAAAATGCAAGAACAGATGAGCAATATAAGCAGAGAGGTGAGTGTCGTAAGCAAGGACTAAATAGAAATATTAGAGCTAAAACAACAATGCGACAATAAAAATGAAGAATGCCTTTGATGGGCTTAGGAGACTGAACATGATTAGGTGAGACTATAATGAACTTGAGGATATCGCAACAGGAGCCTCAAAAACTGAAACCCAAAGAGAAAATAGAACAAAAATCTGCTATTGAAAAACTAGTGATTTCTTTCAACTCAGTTGTTGAACTTTCCATTTCTGCAACTTATGTTTGCTCCCTTTTTATAATTTCTCTCTCTTTGTTGATACTCTTTATTTGTTCAAATACCATTTTTCTGCTTTACTTTAGCTCTTTATCCATAAATTTTTTAGCTTTAGGAGCATATTTTATACAATTGATTTAAAATCTTTGTCTGGTATGTCCAATATCAGTACTTCTTCAGGGAGATTTTTTTCTGTCAATCTCTTCTTTGAATGGGTTTTTACTCTCTTGGTTTATTATTATGATTATTATTTAGTATCTGTAAAGTTTTGGTGAAATATTTTGTTGAATATAAACTGTGATAACTAAGGAAATCAGAATCTTCTTGCTTCTCAGGGTTTGTTTTCTATATTTGCTGTAACAGTTATTTGTGATTATTTTAAAATATTTTTGTAAAGTCTGTATTATTTGTCATGTGTTGTCTCAGTGGATGGGGGGAGAGAAGGGAGGGATAAAACTTTCATTTTTTCAGGCCTTTTTCAAGCATGCATCCTGCTCTACTTATGTGCACGACTTCCTAAATTCCCCAGTGTATGTAAGGCTTTTTCAATTCCTTTATTTCCCAAAGAAGCTCTCTCCTCAGCTTTTCTCCCAGACTTTCAGTGTGACTCTTTTTTGCTCAGTTGTAATCTCTTGCATCAGATAGCAATGGATTGTACAATGTTTTTGAAGAATGTAAAGTGCATACCAGTTTTACCATCTAAGGAGTTCTGAGTTAGGCTAAAAAAGAAAAAACAAAAAACAAAAAACAAGTGCTTTGTATCAGTCCTTCAGGCAGACCTCAGAAAGGTTAAAACAAACCACATTCTTTGAAAATAAAGCTGTGCTCTTCTCCCTCTGGAACCAAGGACCAAGGTCTCACACTGAGAAGGCAAGCCAGAGTAGGGGAGTGGGGAAGAGCCAAGAAAATACAAAACTCTTACTAATTATAAGGTGCCCTTTTCTTAATTTGGCCCTTGCTTAGACGTTTATCTATTTTAATCTTTTAAATGAAGTAGCTTATAGTTTTGCTGAGTAACAAAGACTATTAGGATTATAACCTTACTTGTAATTACCACTCTGGCCACACATCACAGATATTTGGCTATGCAGTGTTGTCACAGATATTTGGCTATGCAGTGTTGTTCATTTATAAACATTGAAAGGTAGAAAGTGTAGTAGTTAAAAGCACACACTCTAGAACCAAATCTCTGGGGTTATCATTGTCTGCAATACCAGCTGAGTGATTATGGGTAAGTTAGCTAACTTCTTTTTGTTCTCTCCGCTGTGGAGTGAATAGTAGTAACTAATTCATAGGGTTGTTGTGAGAATGAAACCAAACAACATATGTGAAAGACCTAGAATAGTGTCGGACACATTTTAAATGTTTATTAAAATGTGGTTGATAATCTCTGTGACAATGAACAATCACTTTCTATAAATGTTTCACAAATATTTGAAGAGTACGAAGTTCTGATAGTTTGTATAAAAATCAAGAGAAATAATTATTTAAATCTTATGTCTGTATTTAATACTTGTCAAATTATTTGCAAAATCTGAAAGCTATAGATACATTTCCCAACTACTGTTGTGATTTGACCAACTTATTTCCATTGTTGTTTTAGATATTTCAACATTTATTTGTTTGTTAAGATTTTTTCTTATTTATTTATGCATATAAGAACTGGGGTGTAGGCCAAAGGTGAGGGGGAGGGGTACGGAGGAGGGGTGAAGGGGTTGAACTCATGCCTCAGTGACTGGTGATAACTTGACATCACTGAGACTTTAACCCCTAAACCTCTATGGAGGCCCTCAACATTTATTTGTTAATTCACAGACTCAGAAAATAAATATTAAAATATAGTAGTTTATCAAGCAGAATGAAACATAAGTTACCTTTGTCTTCCTTTATGATTCTGTCACATTGAACATCTTTATTCTTTGGTGCCCCATTAATAGTCTGCATCATCCTTTCAACATATAAATCATTGCCTATTCTGTTTTTACAGAGGATTTCATAATTCTTGTTTCTAGTGCTATAAAAATAAAGTATATTCAACTCATTCAAAAATTGAGTATTATCACCCATTTCTTTATGCTTTTTCTTAACCTTACCTTCAATACATATTGCACCAAAAAGCGAAGTGAAAGTTAAAAAAAAAACAAACAGAAAAATAAGGAAAAGAATACATTAAACTACCTCCACATGACTCTTTTTTTTAATTTAAATTTTATTTTTTATATTCCCCCATACAATTACAACCCCCTTATTTTGACCCCAAGCCCTCCTTTCCCCGCCCCTCACCCGCCATAGAGTGTCTCTGGTTCATAGTTGTTCGTCGATTTTGATATTTTCTTTCTTATAGTTATTCTTTTTCCTGGTCCCTTATTTAAGTTTTCTAGATTCCTGCTATGAGTGAGACCATCCAGTATTTTTCTTTCTTGCTTATTTCGCTGAGCAAGATCCCTTCTGGCTCTATCCATGTTGCTGCAAATTGCTCCGCATGACTCTTATACTATATCTCTCAATATGACTACTACTTCCAGTATCTAACAGCAATATAATAGTATTCTTCCCTCATGTTTTATGAACTTTGATATAAACACTGAAAGTTATACTTTCCTCAAAGTACTACTTTTGTATCATCTTTTGTATATTATTTTTTTGTGTGTATTATTTTCATAATTGTTTAGTTCTGAGTATTTCCATATGGGTTCTTCTTCCACTCATTAGAAATTTAGAAATAGATGTTTTAAGATTCAAATGTATATGTGAACATGTGCCTACGTTTTAGTTGAGATTTATGTAATTGATTTTGAACTTAATTTCACGTAGTCAGAAAATTTAGCTTGTCTGATAACACTTCTTTAAGATATTTGAAACATTGTTTCATGAACTTTTACATGAATAATTTTTACAAATATGCCATATGTGCTTGAAAAGACTGTATGTTCTCTGATTGTTGAGTGCAGACTTGTATATATGACCATTAAATTATGGTTTTTGTTCAAATTTTCTGAATTTATACTAATTTTTCCATCTGGTTGACCTATTAACAATTGAGAAGGATGTTTAACTCTTTCAAAAAGAATAATTAACAAATTTCTAATTTTTCTTCATATATTCTGTGATCATTTCATTAAGAGTATTCAAGCTTAGAATTATTATATCTTCCTATCATTAAGAAGTGACCTACTTTGCCCCTAATGATGCTGTTGGTTTCATTGTTTTTCTGCAGGTGATGTGTATTTTATCATCTCTTTTTTTCTCTAAGATGTTCTTTTAATATTGGCATTCTGGAGTATCAGAATATAATAAACTAAATTCATTTCTTTTTTGTGGCTTTCTTTCTATATTAATATTAGTATTTGCTTCCATCATATTTCTCTCTGTGATCTTAGATCACATATAAATCCCTTTGTTGTTTATTCCTTTCCTTTCTTTTTCTTTTTTTGTTCCTAGAGTTTTCCCTTATGTTTTATGAGCTTAAAAAGTACATTACTCAGGATCGAATTGTACTTCAAGTTATACTCCAAACAATTCCGCAATATTTTATATTTGGTAAGAATAACACTCTAAAAATTATTTTAGTGATGGGGTTTTAGTACAAAGAATCATATTCAAAATATATTTGAAGCTCAATTATCTAAATAACTATATTAATACTCTATTAATAATAGCTATGTTAATTTCAGACAAAGCAGACTTCAGAGCAAGGAAAATTATCAGAAATAAATATATAGATGCATAAAGAAAATATATTTATATATGCATAAAAGAAAAATAATTAAAGCCCATATTGAAACTTGGAATCTTTATTTCTTCATTATTTGACTAAGTAGTTCACCTACTTTTTAAAAAATATAAAGCAATGGGCTCTTCCTGTAGAAAAAACTACATATAACATAAACACTTAACATAAAATTTCACAGGACACATATATAACTTTACATGTAGTATCACCAGGCACATATACCACCAGTGTATATCAGAAAATTCCAAGGGCAGGGACAAGGATAACAACCTCTGACTTAGCATTTAAATTATAGAAGCAATGAGACAACTGATTACATACTTTACTTTCACAGCTTCTTCAGACTCTACAGAAACCATGACAGTTGGTAAGTCAAAAATTTTCAGTGTTTCTGTCTCTGTGAGGATTATCTCTATAGACTTCTCCAAGTCCTCTTTTGTTACAATTTTTCCAGGTGTTGCCCGCATAACCTGTACATCTAAATACATGAAATGCATGAGAGATGAGCCAACTCTGTTTAGAGAATGATAAAATTTAGCAGCATGGGGGCTTAGAAGTATAGATCCTTGTGAGAGTATAAGATAATTCAGGAGAAGTCATCTAAACCTGAGAGTCCAAGACAATTGTCTATCAATATGAGATCTTCAACTTTGTACCTTAGGCAGCTGGGCACCAAAGAGTATTTTAATGTCTCCTAAAACATCTTTCCTTGATAAGCCATCATCAGAGACAGTGTGGCATGGTGCAAGAGAAAAAAGGAGAAAAGGACAGAGGGAGAAAAAGCCATGTGTTTCATAGTCAGAAATTAGGACTTCAATCTTAGGTGTATAAATGTCAGTAAATTTCTCTACCCTCAATCAAATTTAAAATGGAAACAGCAAAGGGACTGACATAACTAAACCAAAATAAACCCTAGAAATATGACTCCAGAATTGAGACTACGAGAGGGGGAGGGAGGGTAGGAGTGAAAATAAAGAGGGTAGGGGGCACAACAAACTATGGTAAAAGACCATGGGTGCTTCGGTGGTACATGTGGTGTAGTGCACACATCTGCGGAGGTGTAAATCTCTTTCCTGAGATCATATACAGCATTGTAAAGCTATCTACCTTTTAATGTTAGGAAAAGACGCTTTTGTTTGTTTAAAATAGCAGTAGTTATTCTTTTTCCTGTTAGGATTTGTAACAAGAATACTTCTGACAAGTAACAGAAGAGTCCATCAAACACTTCTCTAACCTTATCAACATTAGCACTGATCCTGCATTATCTCAGAGGAGAGGACATGCTGATTCTACTTCAGGTGGAATCCTACATTGGTGGTTACCCACCTGTACTGCACTTCAAGGCAAATGTCCCTCAGATTTGTACCTATTTCTTCCAGCACTTTGATCACCTATCCATTTTTCATTCTTTTATCTTCATTTTCATTATTCTTTGCATTACCTCATGTTTTATCCTCTGCCTGGACTGGGCCTCTACCTTTTTGTTTTCCTATAAAATTACTGATCATCTTTAAAAATCCAGTTCAAAAGTCAATAATGGTCTCTAGAAACATGCTTTTTTTTCCCACCTTAAGTTAATCTTTCTAAGTAGTCTCATCACATTTTACATGTTTTGTAATGACTTTGGGCACGGTATATCAGAATTGTATGGCTGCTGTGGTAACACTGAGCTTTTATAAGACCAGGTCTATGATTCTTGAGTTTGGTGATGCAAGAGAATCACCTTAGGAACTTTAAAAAATATGCAGTTACTACCCTGGTATCTTCATGTAGCTACTCCACAGGCCAACACTGGCAATCTTTATCATAGTTCATTGATCTCAAATGTCAAACAAACAATAACTACATTTTCTAAAGAAACAGTATAACTTTGTATTTACTGAAATAAGTAATTTTACTTTCATTACCTGTAAAACTAGCCAATCTTTCACGCTTAGAGGATGGTTCTTCTAGGTCTTCTGCTATTGACTCAGAAGTGGATATACTTGACTTAGAAACTGTACTGCTTCCTAAAATTGACCTTTAATAATAATTAACAACATGTCTTTATGGGCAATATATAAATAAAAATATTATCAGATTGAGAAATCAAATATACTATATCCATATAAGCAAAATCTATAAAAATAAGCATTGAGTTGATTTTTCAACGTTAAGTCACTTTTGATATATTTTACACATAAGCAATGTTAAACCTTGGCCTAAAATCTTTCAGTAGAATTCCAAACATTTAAGATAAAAATCCAGAACACAAGCTACCTACCCAGATTCTCTGTTGTCATTATCTCTCTTCCTCCCCCACCTCACTTTTTTTTAAGTCCCTCAATCCTGTGGCGCTTTCTTGCTGCAAGACTATAACCTGTAACACACTTTCATTTTTCACCTGGTTTCTGTTCACCATTCAAATTCCATCTTGATGCAATTTATTCAACTCTATTGCAAAGGTGTGCTCAATATTTAATTAAAAGAAATCTTTGCAAGCAGTAGAAAACCAATACATGGAATAATACAAAAATAATTTCCTTAAACATATCAACTTAACATTACCTATGATATTATAGGCCTTTTCCCCTTTCTATTTATGGTCCAACTGTTCTCCAAAGGGTGGGTACAGTTTATTAGAACATTCTTTGTTTTGCAAAAAACACTCCTTAAGGTTTCTGTTGCAAATTTGGAGGCAGACTCTAGAACAACTTTTTTTCTGCAAAATCTTGTACTTAGTTAACATCCGAAATTTTTAATTGTGAGACTGAAATTTATAGATTCAAATATTTTCCATAATCTTTAGGTTGTTTCATTTATTTTTTAAAGATTTATTTATTTATACAAGAACCGGGGTACAGGCCAGATGCGTGGGAGGGTGAGAGGATTCACCAGAGACAGAGTGGGAGAACAGAACAGGCAGACTGACGAAATACACTGCTGAGGGGAGCAGCGGGCGAGGTAGGGGAGGGCTGCTGCTCCATGTGGGATCCTTGCAGGCCGACCAGGATCCAACCCGCGCTGCAGGGGCTGTGGACAGCTTCACAGCGCTGCGCTCAACCACCTGCACCCCCGGGAAGGCCCTTTAGATTGTTTTAGAACATTGTTATTATTGCAGACTCTGAACTTTCTCTACTGTGAACATTAATAACATATCAATTATATAAATATGTACTTAATACTTAAATTTCATTTATATCAATATTCTGGGAGAATACGATTTGCTTGGGAGAATGGGGAGAGTGGAGAGATAAGACATTCTTTTTGATAAAATGCAGCACAAAAGAAATTGAAGAAATATGTCTGCAGATATATGCTAGCGCCTATCTCTTAGTCCCTCTGTAAATCTCGAGAATAATTAAACATTTTTCATAAATGTTCTGGTTTGAGTGTAGGGGAACTCTTAAGACATGTAAAGATCTGCATCTAATTTAACATGAGCAGAACACAGAGATGATGTACTAGGATGATAGAATTGGGAGACTAGAGACAATTGACATCTAAGTTACATACATACTACAAATCAAAGTATATATGACAGGGCCTCCCCGGTGGTGCAGCGCTGTGCAGTTGTCCACAGCCTGCGCAGTGCGGGTTCGATTCCCACATGGCATGGCAGATCTCTCCTTTTGCACCAGCTGCTCCCCTCAGCAGTGTATTTCAGTCCTTCTTCCTGTTCTGCTCCCCACTCTGCCTCTGTGAATCCTCTCACCATCCCGCGCCTCTGGCCTTTACCCCAGCTCTTGTATAAAAATAAATAAATCTTTTAAAAAATAAAATAAAATTATATTTAAAAAAAGAAAGTATATATGACATTAAAAATAAAGAACTATAGAACTGTATACTCTACCTTGTAAACTGCCCCATCATACTTGGATTTATTGTATTGTGATAAAGAGTATAGGAAGATATAAAATCTGATGTAAATGATCCTTCCTGTGATGTCAATAGTTTATTTGGCTTTGCTGTACCACTATGTGGATCTGGATGGAAAAGAGGTCGGGGAGTAACATCAACTCCCTGTGCATCAACCACCTGTAGAAAATGATTATTTAAATGAAATATATAAAAAAGATGGAGTTTCTGACTAATAAATCATAGAAAATAGAAATAAGCATAATGTTTCTAGAATATAAAAAACTGAATGATAAAAAGATTTTATGTTTAAAAAGTTTCTTAACTAGTCATATATTAATTTAAAGTCTTATTCATATATGACATATATACAAATAATATATATTGAGAGAAAATTCAGAAGGTAGAAAAATATTTATCCAGTATAACATTTTGGTATACTTAAATTTTTATTCAAATGTTTTTTAAAAAATCTACTACTTTTCATTTACACTATTAATAAATATTTTTCAACTTAATACATAGTTTTGGTTTGTTTGATTTTGGCTAACTTAATTTTTTCAATATAAAGTTTAACACATATAGAAATAATTAACACAATACCATATAATTATATTATACAAAGCAAATGTTTTTTTTTTTTAAAGATTTATTTGTTTGTTTATACAAGTATTGAGTACTGTCAGAAGCGCAGAGGGTGAGAGAATTCACCCGAGCCAGAGCGGGGAACAGAATAGGCAGAAGGACTGAAGTACATTGCTGAGGGGAGCAGCGGGCAGCAGGAGAGGTCTGTGTGCCTTGTAGGACCCTCGCCCAGCGGCCGGGGATCGAACCGGCGCTGCAAAGGCTGCAGGCAGCTTCACAGCCCAGCGCTCAACTGCTGCACCACCGGGGAGGCCCCAAAGCAAATGTTCTTATAGTCACAACTAAAATAAAAAATTAGAACATTGATATTTACTTCAAAATAATGGGCCCCTTTCACAGATGGCAAATGCTGGCCTGGACCCCCTCTTGTATTACAGCCTCTCCCTCCTCTCTCACGGTAATCATTACAGTGACTTCAATAATCTTTTTTTTAATAATTTCATTAATTATACACATCTAAATAGTCACATTTATAATTTGTATTGAAGTAAAATATTCATCCAGAAAAAAAAAAAATGGAGATACAAGTTCCTCCCTGGTGGCACTATAACACTATCGGCAGCCACTATATCACAATTTCCAACCCAGCCAGGAAGCTAACCCACATGGCGCATTAGACTCTTCTGTTTGGACCAGTGCTCCCCTCAGCAGTGTGTTTCAGTACATCTACCTGCTCTGCTCCCCACACTGTCTCTGGTGAATCTTTTCACCCTCCATACCTCTGGCCTGTACCCCAGTTCTTCTATGTGAAAATAAATAAAATCTTTAAAATGAAAAAAATGGAGATACAAATAAATAGCTTAATGACTTTTCACAACTGAACATATTTTTTAGTCAGTAATCAGATTCAGAGGTGAAAATTACCAGCTTCTCAGAAGTTTATTTCATGAGAGTCATACCATTGTTGAATCATACAGTGTGTATGTACTATTTGGCATATAGTTTCTTTTGTTCAATATTCTATTTGTGAGATTCATTTTTGTTGAGCATTTTTGTAGATGATTCATTTCCAATGCTGTACTACATTCCATTGTTTGAATATGTCAGACTATTCTATTACTCATGGACATTTCTATACTTACCAATTGTTTACTATTATAAAGGGTGCTAATATGAATATTACTATATGTGTGTTTTGCTGAATATACTGTATTGATTTATGTTGGGTATGGTCAAGAGTGGGATTTCTGGGTAATGGATAATATATATGTTCCTCTTTAATAGGTAATACTAAAGAGATTTTCCCAGGTGGTTCCCACCAACAATGTAGGAAAGTCTGGTTGCTCCAGAATTCTGCTAGCACTTGGTAATGTTTGTCAAAGAAATTTAGCATTGCCTGTTTTTAAATTTATATAAACAGCCATATAGTATGATTGACTTGTCTGACATCTTTTGTTCAATTGTATGTTTTTATATTCCTCTATGTATTACATATACTTCATTAATTGATAATTGTAGTCTGTTGGAGTAGTATATATCAATACTTTATTTATCAATCCTACTTTTCATCAACATTGAGTTGTTTCCAGTTTTTTTTCCATCATGAAAACTGTTTCAATAAACATTTAAGTAAAAAAATTATAGTATGCCTGGAATACATTTCTGTAGGGGATACACAGATGCAGAATTGATGGGTCAACTTGATTAGATAACACTCTTTTCCAAATTGGTAGCTTTTCATGTTTAGATCTATAATATACCTGGAATTGAGTTCATTCATAATATGAGAAAGGAAGCCATTATATTTTTACTCTGTATGAATACCCATTTGTCTCAAAAGAATTTTTAAAAATATTGTCATTTCCCCATTATTCTATAGTGAACATTCATTATAAAGAAAGTGTATACATATGCTCTAGTCACTTGTAGGCTATCTTTTTGCCATTGTTACACTTCTTATTAAACTCATTATGTAGGAGAGCAAGTCCTTTCGCCAAGTTCTTATTCAACAGTGTTGGCTATTTCTAGACTTCAGAAGCTTCAAAAAAAAACTTGACAAGTTTCTGAAAAAAAAAAAGTCATGGAAAAATAATCTTCTGAGATTTTTGACTGAAATTGCCAAGAATCTATAAAATAAAAATTTGGTTATTATGCTTTCAATGCATAAACTTGGTCTATTTCTGCATTTCTTTGGCTCTTTGTAAATGTCTCCCAATAAAATACTGTAGTTGAAAAACAATAGTTGTAACTTTTGTTATATTTATCCATAAGTATCTTATGATTTTTAGAGTTCCTATAAATGTTAACATTTAATTGCTTTGTTGTTTTGGGTACCCAATAACTTTGCTAAACTCTCTTAATTTTATAGTTGTCAGTAGGTGATTTTTAATTGTATATGTAGATAATTGTATTATGTACAATTATTCATTGTTTTGTTTCTTCTTTTCTAATTTTTACATTTTTCATTTCATTTTCTTGCCATACTGGCTAAGACTTTCAAGAATATCAGATGGAAGTTATTTTTTCTTAGAAATGCTTTACTGTTAAATACGATCATTGCTATAGGAGTTTAAAGAAATGATTGTAACAGAAGCAGCCCCATAAGAGGGAGGTGCAATGTTCCCCACTCTGCTTAAAGATGGGTGGAGCTGAGCAGCCAGGTGAAGCTATCAATATATAATATGGAAGGCAGGGCAGCTAGGGAGGTCTGGGGAGACACATGGAAAACGGCACACTTGCTTCTTAGCTTTGAATTTGCACCAGGGATTTGGGGGACTTGGAGGAGACACATAGGTGGGTGACATGTGGAGAGGCTGACAGTGGCAGCTGTTATCTTGATTTGCACTTTGATTCTGCTTCCTCTGTCCCAGCTTTCTGAGGCCTACTTCAGAACCCCTTTCCTGTGGTCCCCTGCCAAAAGGTGCCTTAGACTTGTAGCAAGATTTTAGGCCACAGCAGCCCTGCTTGGAGCCATCTCTGCCTGGATAGGCATTTACCCACAAGATGAGGTAACTGGGAGTATTTTATTGGAACACCAATAAAAGAAAATAAAATGTCCTTTCTTCTCTCTCTATGCACATTAATTCTATTAAAGTTCTTTCGTACTAAGTGTCTCCATTGTCGGATGGCCAGACTCCTTTAAAGTATAGAAGTTTGGGGATCCTGGAATACTCCTCAGGAATGCACTAATACCCTAAATTAGATTTAGGAGGTTCCTGAAAGAATTTTTTAAAATCATGATTATAATCTTATCAGGTACTTTGTATTGAGATGATTGTATATTTTTTCCATTAAGCTATAATTGTTGTGAATTTCACTGATGGACTTTTATATATGAAATCAATCTTGGGGCCTCCCCTGGTGGTGCAGCGGTTGAGCCCTGGGCTGCGAAGCTGCCCGCAGCCTCTACAGCGCTGGTTCAATCCCCGGCCACCGGCAAGTGTCCCACATGTTGCGACAGACCTCTCCTGCTGTGCCTGCTGCTCAGCAGTGTATTTCATCAGTCTGCCTGTTCTGTTTCCCGCTCTGGCTCTGGTGAATTCTCTCACCCTCCCGTGCTTCTGACTGTACCCAGCACTTGTATGAATAAATAAATAAATCTTTAACAAAAAAATTAAACCAATCTTGCTTGGTATAAACTCAGTTTTCTCATGATGTGTTCTCTCTTATATTGAATATACTGAATTTTGCTGACATTTTATTGAGGATTTATTTCTTCATCTATATTTGCAAGTGAGATTGTCTTATATTTCTCATACTGTTGGAATCAGATTTTGGTATCAAGGTAATTCTAGGCTCAGAAAAAGAATTTTGCAGTATACCCACCTTTCTTGTTCTGTTTTCATCCATATATGTTTGCCATATGTCACTAGTGAAAGCATGCGGTCCTAGAGTTATTTTTGAAGTAAGGGTTTTTTTTTTTTTAATAGAGGCATTTTTTTTATTTATTTGTTTGTTTGTTTGTTTGTTTTGTTTATACATGCACTGGGTACAGTCAGAAGCGCGGGAGGGTGAGAGAATTCACCAGAGCCAGAGCGTGGAGCAGAGCAGGCAGAAGGACTAAAGTACACTGCTGAGGGGAGCAGCAGGCGGCAGGAGAGGTCTGCGCGCCATGTGGGACCCTCCTCTGGTGGCCGGGGAGCAGCCGGGGATCGAACCAGCGCCGCAGAGGCAGTGGGCAGCTTCACAACCCAGCGCTCAACTGCTGTGCCACGGGGAGGCCCTGAAGTAAGAGTTTTAAATTAGTATTATTAATTTCTTTAACATAAGCTGCCAATTTTCAATTTTTTGTCTTTTTGGTAAAGTAAAAGTTTATAATATAATTTTTTCACTTTACCAAAATTTTTAAATTTCAAAATTGTAATAAAATTGCACACAATTTTACAATAGCCTTTGAAATTCACAATCAGCAGTTTTTAGTATATTCACAGATACACAGTTACCACCACAGTTAATTTTAGAATCTTTTTGTCACCTTAAGGAATTCTGTGCCCTTTACGATTGTCTTACCTTTGTCTCCCCTTCTAGTTTTAGCCTACCACTAATATAACATGTCTAGAAATTACCTTGTTATTAACTTTCAAATGAATGAATCATAAAGTATATGGGATTTTGTGTGGTTTCAATATTGATCCACATGGTAGCATGCATTTCATTCCTTCTTTATGGTTGAATAATGTTCGTTGTATGAATAAATCACCATTTGCTTAACCATTTGTCCACTGACGGACATTGCTTCCAGCTTTTGGCTATTCTGAATAAACTTTCATGTATAAGTACCTGTGTGGAAATACATCTTAATTTATCTTGATTACTGGAATTTCCTATTGTATGATAATATTTAACCTTTGAGGAACTAGCATACTGTTTTCCAAACTGATGGGATGATTTTACTTTCTCATGAACAGTGCATGAGGGTCTGGATTTCTTCACATTTTAGCCAATAACAGTTACCTGATATTTTTCATCTAGCCATTCTACTGAGTGTGAAATGAGTATCTCATTGGTGTCTTTCTTGCTCTAATGACAAGTGATGTCACATCTTTTCATGTGCTTTATGATCATTTACTATCTTCTATGGAGAAATGAGTATTCAAATCCTGCACCCAATTTTTAATCGTGTAATTTGTCTTTTTACAATTGGGTTTTAGGAGTTCTTTACATATTCCAGATATATATCTCTTAAGAGATATGTTTTGAAAATATTTTCTCCCATTCTATGTATTGACTTTTCACTTTCTTGATAGATTTTTAACTACTTTCTTTCCAATATGGATGCCTTTTCTCTTCCTTGCCTAACTGTTCTATTTAGATCCTCCTGTAAAGTGTTGAATAGAAGTGTTTTAAAAATTTTTCTGATATCAGAAGGAAAGCATCACCTTTTATCATTAAGAATAGGTTAATTGTAGGTTTTCCAGAATGTCCCTGAGTAAATTCCTTGGTCTTTCAAGTTAGTTGAAAGGTTTAAATTTTTTTTTAATTTGTGAATACGGAATTAAAAATGTTTTGACTTATGTGTTCTGATAATCACTTTATTAATACTATATTGACTTTCAAATTTTGAAACATTCTTACATGCATTATCCCCACTATCATGATGCATTATTCCTTTTACAGTGTCACTAGTACCATACAATATGTAAATATTGCATATATGTATAATGTATACATTATATATAATATGCATATGGTCGTTATATACTGTGTATCCTCCCAAATTCATATTAGAATATTCCAGTCATTCACAATTAAATATGATGTTAGTAGGATTTTTATTTTATTTTTTAAAGATTTATTTATTCATGCATATAAGAACTGGGGTGCAGCTCAGAGGTGCAGGGGGAGAGAGGATTCACCAGACACAGAGTAGGGAACAGAACAGATGGACTGATTGAAATACACTGCTGAGGGAAGCAGTGGATGAGACAGGTGAGGTCTGCTGTGCCTTGTGGGCTAGCTCCTGGGCCAGGGATGCCGCAGTGGCTGCATGTAGCTTCATAGTGCTGAGATCCAACCTCTTGCACCACCAGAGAGGCCCCCGTTAGTGGGATTTTTAAATAAATATATCAGGTTGAAGAAATTCCTTTCTATCTCTACTTTGTTGTTTTTGTCATGAAAGGTTGTTTGTTGAATTTTGACATGTTTTATTGAGATTTTTGCTTTTCATTCTACATCAATTGATTTAAAGATATTAAACCACTTCACAACTGGGATAATTTCCACGTGGTTATTGTTATCCCTACCACCCCTGGAATTTTATATGTTGAAGCCCTAAGCCCTGGTACCTTTCATGGTGATTATATTCAGTGAAATATGAATATGATATGGCAATTAAATATGAATGGCAATTAAATATGAATATGATATGGCAATTAAAAAATTAAGGCCATTAGGATAAGATATTTTGACTGGTGTCCATTTTGACTGGTGTCCTCATAGGTAGGAAGAGTAGATTAGGACACAGAGATGAACACATACAAAGGGAAAGATAAGGACAACACACACAGTAAGAAGGTGGCCATCTACAAACATTTCCACTGTGATCAGGAATTCTAAGCCTCCACCTACATGTGAGATGCAGATGGAACCTTTTAGAGAGAAGGTCATAAGGGTAGAGCCTCATAAATTGGATTAGTGCCCTTATAATAAGAAACCAGAAAGCTAGTTAAATTTCTTTTTGCCACTTGAGGATTCATAAGTTGTTAGTCTACAATCTAGAAGAGGGTCCTCCTCACCAGAACCTGATTAATGTAGTACCCTAATCTTAGACTTTCAGATATCAGAACAGTGAGAAATAAACTTCGTTGTTTGTAAGTTCCTCAATCTATGATACTTTGTTACAGCAGCCTGAGCTGATAGCACATATAATATACATGCAATTATGTAGTATTCATTTATTAAAAATCATAATAGGGTTGTTTCTGGTGTTTGACTATTATAAACAAAGCTGCCATGAACATTCACATACTAATTTTTGTATAAACATATACTTTCTTCTCTCTTGGGTAAGCACCTAGAAATGGAATGGATGGATGATATAGTAGATATGTACATTTAATAAATTGCTTATGTTCATTTGCTATCTGTATGTGTACTCTGATGATGTATTTATTAAAATGTTTTGCTTATTTTTAAATTAGATTGTTTCAATATTGTTTTGAGGGTTGTTAATAATTTTGGATATACTTTATCAGCCATATGCTTTGTAAATAATTTTTCCCAGTATACCTTTCTTTCCATTCTTTCAGCAGTGTCTTTTTTTTTTTTTAAAGATTTATTTATTTATACAAGAACCAGGGTCCAGGCCAGATGTGCGGGAGGGTGAGAGGATTCACCAGAGACAGAGTGGGGAACAGAACAGGCAGACTGACGAAATACACCACTGAGGGGAGCAGTGGATGAGACAGGAGAGGTCTGCTGTGCCATGTGGGCATCTCCACAGCCAGCAAGGATCGAACTGGCACTACAGAGGCTGTGGACAGCTTCACAGTGCTGCGCTCAACCGCCTGCACCACCAAGGAGGCCCAGTGCCTTTTTTTTTTTTTTAAGATTTATTTATTTTGCTTTCAAGAACTGGGGTATAGGACAGAGGTGTTGTAGCTAATAGATTAGCTAAAATTGGTACCAGAAGCAAGCAATTAAGATTATGAATAGATTTTTCTCATTCCATGCTAAAACTTTTATTATTCATCATGAACTATAGGCTCCAATTGCAAAAATTATGCTGTTAGCTATGTTATGTGGTAAAGACTAACAAAGTATTTCAATACTGGAAGAGTGTAATTATTTCAAAGCAACTCATTTTCTATGTCTAACATTTTAATCAAATTTTTCATGGATCATTTTCAAATAAACTTAGAATTCTAAAGAATATTACCTGTATGACTCCCTTTGAGGTGGAAATATTCATTTTTTCTACTGGTTTTGTTTCTGGTAGAATCATGGCTCTTGACATACCCATTTTGCTTTGATATGCACCAGGATATGCTTTTGTTTGAGGTCCTTTAATTGGATTAAAAAAGCTAATAGATTTCCTTGGCCCAAAGCCAGTGTTCCTGTATCAGGAAAAGAAAACAATACAGACAATCCAGGATTAAAGAAAAATTAACCAAAAAGCAGATGTTCATTTAGAAACATGGAAAAGCCTTAACATGTAAATAAGAAATAATAACTACTTGAGAGTTCATAGTATATAAACACGGTTCCAAAAAGTTAACACTCATTATGTCACTTTTCCCTTACAACTCTAACAGATGGCCATTAATGATATTTTATATAAAAGCATGCAGGCTTACCAAAAACAAACAAACAAACAAAAAACCTCGTGCTAAAGGTGAGATTTGAACCCAGGCAGTCAGATCTAAAGTCTACACTGATTTCTCTGGGTGTCAGTTTTTTCATTTGTAATGTGAGAGATAATAATAGTAGCTAACTTATAGGTTATTATGAGGATTAAATGACTTAATCTATATATTACATTTAATAACTGTTTGGCACATAGGAAACACAAATGTTGAATACACCTACATAAGCAGATTGATGGATGAGTAATAATACCTAAGGAAAAAATATCATAGTCCTGCCTGAAAAATCAGATATTTAATAAGAAGTTATAATCAAAATGGTTTTATTTTGTATCTACTCTGTAAATTTCTTAAAACAAAAATCTACCTTATCATTTATATGTTCCAGTACTCTCTCTGAGTGTACTGTGGATTTATGTAAGACGAGGACATTCCTCCTTCAGATCATGAAAAGGAAATAAATTTCCAAAGAAAACATTTTAATACTTAATTTTTCAAATAAGAGATAAGCAATAATAAAATCGGTATTTTTGAATGACATCAATCCACCTTTTTTTTTTTTTCAAAGAAATTATGACTACTTGACATTTTATTGTTGCCCATTCTTCTACATATCTCAGCATCTTTAGGTAAGAGCTTTGTCTACCTCATTGCTATATCCCTAGCACCCAGAACAGAGTTCAGTATATTGTGAAACCTAAATATTTTTTTAAGTAAATGAATTCCGTTCAGGCAAATTTTCTAATTTACACCCCTCTGAAGTATCCTACCATAGCCCCTCTCCTTTAGTCTTTAATGACTTCATCCCTGACAAAAATTATCAACCAGGTAAAAACTTTGGAATTAGTTCTTTACATTCATTTTCTTCCATACCCTGTGTAAGGTAAGGAAAAATGTCAGGCTTTGCTGCCCTCCCGCCATCAGGATAGATGATGGATCCTTGTGGTCCTGAATGCATGCCTGATGGCAGGCACCTGGAGTAGGGTGTGGGCATAGGTAGATAGGATTCACCTGGGCTAAGACTGGGCTTTTTTTTTTTAATTTAATTTTATTTTTATATTTCCCATACAATTGCAATCCCCTTATTTTGACCCCAATCCCTCCCCTCCCCACCCCCCATAGAGTGTCTCTTGTTCATAGTTGTTTGTTGATTTTGATATTTTCTTTCTTATAGTTATTCTTTTTCCTGGTCCCTTATTTAAGTTTTCTAGATTCCTGCTATGAGTGAGACCATCCGGTATTTTTCTTTTTCTTTCTGGCTTATTTCGCTGAGCATGATCCCTTCCAGCACCATCCATGTTGCTGCAAATTGCATGTTTATCTTTTTTGAATGCTGAGTAATATTCCATGGTGTATATGTACCACATCTTCTTTTTTTTTTTTTTAGAGGCATATTTATTTATTTGTTTGTTTGTTTATACATGCACTGGGTACAGTCAGAAGCACGGGAGGGTGAGAGAATTCACCAGAGCCAGAGCGAGGAGCAGAGCAGGCAGAAGGACTGAAGTACATTGCTGAGGGGAGCAGCAGGCGGCAGGAGAGGTCTGCGCGCCATGTGGGACCCTCCTCTGGTGGCCGGGGAGCAGCCAGGGATCAAACCAGCGCCGCAGAGGCCGTGGGCAGCTTCACAAGCCAGCGCTCAACTGCTAATCTTCCTACTTTCTGAAACTTGTCTTTTTCTACTTTCTGAGGGATTTTCCCTATAAATAATTCTGTCTCCTACATCTAAGTGCCTATCTTTTCCCCCTGAGCATGTAACTATGCCCCTGTCATCCCCTCAACTCAAAAATCCTTAATTAAGATATCTATTAAAGGCTCTTTTCAGTACCTATCTTTGTAGCACCTGAGAGTTGACCATTCCCCTTCTTAAGCTTGATTCTTAAATTGGTTTCTGGGAGACCACTATCTCCTATTCTTCACCATACACCAGACCCTTCTATTTTCTGTCAATTAATCAGTACCTTTTAGGTTTCCTTTCATTCTCTAATCCAGAATTCACAAATCAATTCACTTTTACCATTACCTTGAACTCTTATTTCCCTCCTCTCCTTTTGCCTCTACTATTTTTACAAAATCCAAATCCTCTCATTTTATTAGTATACTTTTTGAAGATTATACTTATGTTCAAATCTCAGTTATGTCTTCTCAATATATGTTATCCTCAAGTAAATTTACAAATTTACAAAATTAGTTTAAATGACTACTTGTATTCTTCTTTCTTATGGGAGTCTCCCATCATATCATCACCATCACCCTGTCCCATCTCCTGAAGATTTTATATCCTAAATCACTCTCTCCAATGCTATTCTTCTTACATAATTCCTGAGTATTTTAATATCATGAAGATAATCCTTCGAATACCATGGCCTCTTCGTTCTTTGAAGTCCTCTCACATAAATGATCTTGGCACATCAGCTACTTATTTCTATGGCCATGCATATTCCCTTGTCCTTAGCAAGATCAACTATCACTTCCTATTTTTCTTACACTCTAACTCCAAGCATTCTTCTATTATAATCGTCCAATCCTTGATTCTACCAGGTTTTACTTCCTTCCTTCCTTCTTCTCATGCGATCTCTTCTCTCTTAAGTTTAAGGTTAATTAATATAATCCATAGCTAATTATTATAATGACTCAGTATTTACATTCTCAACCCCCTCCCCTTTTCTTTCCCCTTCTTTAAATTCACTAAATTTTCTGGCAGGACCAAAACCTTGATTAAGTCCAATTATCTTCTTACTTTGATCCTGCACCTGTGTATTAACCATGTTTCTAGCTTCTGTAAACTTGTGCTTTAACATCTTCTCTGCATGCATAGACTTGCCATGTCTTGTTTTGAACAATCTGATATGCCCAAGTCACGTTGCTTGACTTCTTGCCTCTTTTTTTGTCCCCCACCCCCATCCAGAGTCCTCACTCCTAACCAACTCTCTTAGCAGGCTGTCACACTCTGGGCCACTATCACTTTACAGCCAGATACTAGAGATGGCCCTTATGTTCCAGAATCCACTGAACTTTTGCAAATTAGCCAGTCCTCAAAATGTTTACCCTGCCTTTCCTGTTCCTTCCGATACTACCTAAACACTGCGGCCCACAATTCCCTCCTCTATTTCTGCTTGGTGGTCAAAGCCCACTGCATCTCCATTTGGTCCCCTGTGGCCCTGTATGCCTCCTTCTTTTGGTACATGAATAATAATTAATAAACTATTTTTTTAAATAGCAATCATATCCTGTTAAGAACAAAACTGAGTGTAGGGTAAGGTGAAAAGTATCAGGCTTTTCTGCCCTCCCGCCATTAGGATAGATGAGGGAACCCGGTGGTCCTGAATACGTGTCTGATGGCAGGCACCTGAAGTGGGTACACCTAGGCTGAGAGACTGAGTTTATAAGGGCGGCGTCTCGGGGATGCCAGCAGAAGCTGAGAGAAGAAAAAGAGAAGCAGAGAGAATGCCAGAGAGCCCAGTTAGAGTGAGGATTTGCTGGGAGCTGTGAGTACTGCCAGCCTCCCGGCCCCCCAGCACCCCTGCCTGCTGTGTACCTGGCAATCCCAATAAAAGCCTGCAAGAGCCACTGAGGGTTCCAGGACTCCTCCTTTACCCAGTATGCTGTATCAGAAAACCTGCACTGTGGTCCATGTCCTGACCCTACACTGAGCAATGGCCATTGTAGGGTAAGGAAAAAATGTCAGGCTTTTCTGCTCTCCTGCCATTAGGATAGATGATGGAACCCTGTGGTCCTGAATGCATGCCTGATGGCAGGTACCTGGAGTAGGGTGTGGGCATAGGTAGATGGGATTCAACTGGGCTAAGATTGGGCTTTTAAAGGCGGCGTCACAGGGACCCCAGCAGAAGCTGAGAGAGAAGCAGAGCCATGAGAAGAGCAGAGAGAATGTGAGAGAAAGTTGGAGAGCCCAGACTGGAGACTTGCTGGGGGCTGGGAGACCTCCCTGCCCCCCAGGGCCTTGCCTGCCGTGTACCTGGTAATCTAAATAAAAAACCTGCAAAAGCCACTGAGGACTCTGACTCCTCCTTTACCGGGTCTGCTGGATCATAGAAAACCTGCACTGTGTCCCTTCCTGCCTCTTACAATTGGTGTAAGTCAGCAAGATGATCCATGTAGACGGGTATTGGAGCCCTCTGAAGACCTGGAGGGACTAAGGAGTAACAGACTGTTTGCCTGTGATGACACTGGAGGCGTCATGGCGGCACAGGAGATGGACAAGGTCCAGGAGCTGCGGGACGAGACCTCGCATGGAGGAGACACCTGAGAGGACCAGCCAACGACCCCTGAGGCAGCAAGAATTATCGGCGAAGAGAGGACCATGATTCAGAGCTCGCCAGCGCTGATGCAGCGAGAAACCTAATGGACTTGGACTGATGTACTTGAACTGACAATCCTGCCAGAAGGTGGAGGAACTCTGGCAAGTTAATGTTGTTTTGGGACCTTGGGGGAGGATTGTTTGTAGACCCCAGGAGATGGGAATCTGGTGGTGGCCAGTGGGACATGACGGCCAAAAGTAGCCTGTGATGTGCCCAGCAGCCAGGTGGAGGAGAAAAGCCAACTGAGAAGGCAAAAGCTGGTGCTGATGCTGAGTTTGGGAAGCCCTGAGCGGCTGTTAAGCACTAAGTAAGCTGAGGAAGGCCAGTGAGTCTTGTAAAATCACCTATGGGTGATGCCCTGCTCGTTCTTGAGTGAGGGTGAGGAGCTGAGGAACCCGTCCTTGGGGGACGGGTGGGGAACATGGCTTGGGGTGGAGCCCAAGCTGAAGAGGGGACCCGAGAGAGGCAGCATATAGAGTTTGGATCCCCGACCCATGTGCTTGTGCAATGGGTTGGCATGAGTGCAGGGATCTGATTGTCACATTGTTGGCTATGAAAGCTGAGTGTTGGAGCAACCGCAGACAGAAACCCTGAGGGTTGGGCGATTACCCCCAAAGAGTAGAGAATCCCCAATCCAGGAGTGAGTGCATCCTGGGGGGTGGCTGCTATGTGTGGCTTGTAGCCGAGACCACAGCCAGACAATGCCAAGAAGCCTGACGGCTCCTGGCGTGTTACAGTAGATGCCATGAGTGGTTCCCCTCCTTCGTATGAGCAGTGCCTTCGGCAGCAGATTTGGTGGATCATCTGCTGGTACCAATAATTGTCTTTTGCCACTAGGTTGGTGCCCTGCCTGGACATTTGTGTTCTGTTGTATTTTGTTGTTATATTGTGATGTATTTGCTTTTGTGGGCCATGGCTGCATTGTTTATGTTTGCTAAGAAAATTGTATATATGAAGCTTGTATAGCAGAAAACCCTGAGGGGGTGGACTGTAGGGTAAGGAAAAAATGTCAGGCTTTTCTGCCCTCCCGCTATTAGGATAGATGACGGAACCATGTGATCCTGAATGCATGCCTGATGGCGGACACCTGGAGTAGGGTGTGGGCATAGGTAGATGAGATTCCCCTGAGCTAAGACTGGGCTTTGAGGGTGGCGTCACAGGGACACCAGCAGAAGCTGAGAGAAAAGCAGAGCCATGAGAAGAGCAGAGAGAATGTGAGAGAAAGTTGGAGAGCCCAGAGTGAAGACTTGCTGGGAGATGGAGGCCTGGGAGGCCAGCACCCCTGCCTGCCGTGTACCTGGTAATCTAAATTAAAAAACCTGCAAAAAGCCACTGAGGACTCTGACTCCTCCTTTACCGGGTCTACTGGATCAGAAAACCTGACTCTTACAGCCATTCATTGCATTTGGTTGGAAGGCTATTGCTGGTCTTCAGAAAAGTGATTTTGGTGGAGTGGTGGGATGGACAAAAAACGACAGTACCATATTTAAGAAAGACTGGAAGGTTAGGTTTTCTCCCAAGAACTGTCAACAAGTTTTGTTGAAGAAAGTCTAGCTGAGTGGAAAAGACTGGAGGGATGTTAAAGCTTTGACGGCGGGGCGGGGGGGTTGGGGGGGAACTGGTATGGAAGTGTGGCAGAGTGAATGAATTAGGGAACTTGAATGAAACTGTTGGGCAACACTAACAGACCGTTTGCAGTTATGTGCGAGACAAATTCGCAGAGCTGTGTGCTTTCACCCTGCCTCTCGCTCAACTGTTGCAGGAACTGTAGAATGCCGTAAACCGGAATAAGTTTCAAGGCAGTATATTAAGAGGCGGCAAGAAAAAAAGTGTACAGGACAGATTTGTTCAGTATGATGGATCACAGAAACCGAGAGAGCTGACTGTCTGTGGACACAGCATGGAGGTAACAAGCTAGAAACTGCAGGGGGGTGGGAGGGCGAGTACGAGGAGGAAGGATGGTTCTAAACAATCTAGGTCTTTGCTCAGAGCAAGCACAGCGGTAGGGGCTTGAGATCGTCTTCCTAGGCCAAGGACTGAGACACTGCTGCCTGGGAGCTCCGAGGGCTGCTGATTGAACCCACTTGCAGCGAGTGTTAGGCTCTAGAAAGGCTGCCTCCCGGCCCCAGGGGGATGGACTACGCAGAGCTTTAGCATCACAACTTACACCCCGGGGTTCAGCTGCTTGCGGCTGCTCGTCGGAGAGATGGGCATGGTGGCGACTGCCTGGGCAGTGGTCTGCAGTTCCTGTACCCCAACCCCCGGCCTTAGAGGCTCCGGCAGAAGCAGGGGAATGTTTGCCGGGCGTCATGGAGACGGTGGCGCTCTGGCTCAACAAGAGGCCGCGCGGTTGGCTGGCGGCTGGAGGCCGAGGAGGAGGGCGGAGGCGGAGGGGAGGGCAGAGGGTTGGTGGAGCAAGAGGAAGCTCAGGACGACGACTAGAAGAAGGAGGCGGGCGGCCCGGGCCCCAGGCCCCTCCCAGGTTCCGAGTCTCCCCGGCTGCAGGCGGATGGATGGGGCTTCTTCAGGCGGTGGCGGCAGCAGCGGAGCCGGCGGCGGCGGCGGCTGTAAGTGCAGCCTCCATAACTCATCTCTCTCCTCCCCGTCCTGTTTGGGATAAGGGGCTCCTGCGGCGTCCTCGTCCCCCTTCACCCCTCCCCCTCCCCCACCGCGGAGTCCCGCCCGGAAGACCCTTCACTTCCGGGGAGGGGCTGCTGGCTTCTCCGCCTGCTGGGGCGCGGGACACCCAGGGCGCATGCTCGGGCCCCGGGAAGCCCAGGGCGCATGCTCGGGCCCCAGGACGCTCAGGGCGCATGCTCAGGCCCCCTCCGCCGCCCACCCTACCCCGACCCCGTCTTTTGCTTTGGCGGCGGTGGCGGGTGCTGCACGGATCTTCCCCGGCGTCCGCGGCGCGCTGGGAGTCCGCTGCGTAGTGAGTTCGCCTCGCCCTGGTCGCTTCCGCCCCTTTCTCCTGTCCGCCCTGGAGCCCGCTGGGGGTGGGGCTAAGTTGACTACACCCCTGTGGCTCCGCCTCTTTCCCCTGCATCTGCTGGTTTGTCCCAGCCCTGGGAGGCTTCTGCTTGCACTGCAGCCCCGGTGGGGAGCAGGGTCTCGGGCAAGCCCTTTCAGCGGGAGAGAGGGAGGGAAGAGAGACTCCAAGGGCGCATTATTGCGAGGGGCAGAAGTCCTCCCAGCCCGTGGGAGGACCCCGGGGGACAGGTACCTTACCCCCCCCCCATTTTGAATGGCCTTGTTCCAGCTTTGTGGAGGAAAGATCTGTGGCCTGGAGTCCATCTGATTTTTTCGCTTGCTTTGTGGCCTTGGGCGAGTCACTACTTCTTTCTGGGCTCCAGTTATTCCTAAAGCTTCTTCCAACGCTAAAACTCTGAATTCTGCAGAAAAGCTTATGCAAGACCGGCCGGTCCACTGAGGCCGCTTAGCCAAGATGACTAAGAGTTGACTGAATCTTTTCTTCAATCCAGTGGGATGAGACAGCCTGTTACTTGGGTCGCTTTTATACAGTTAGCATAAGTTACAAATTGCACGACTCAATGAGTTCCATCGTTTTTCAGAAATTATTACAGGGTCCTTGGCCTAATACCTAGTAGCCATCTTTTCAAAAACTGTAGGCAGGGTGAACGGTGAGCTTGTGGTTTCGTGGTCTCTAGTCTCGTTGCTACTGAGGCTCTCTTTCCTTTGATCCAGATGGTGTGGTGGCTCGATTCTCCCAGTGCCTGGCTGAGTTTCGGACGTGGTTAAGAACCAACTGGTTGAGGTTCAATGCAGACAAGACGGATGTGATGCTGGTAGGCAGGGGCACACTTGGAGATTGAGGGAGGGAAAATCCAAACTCCCTCAAATATAAATATATTACTCTTCTTATATGTTCCAGTGTATGAGAACTGCTGATGGGCCAATAATTTCCAGAGTTTGGGTGAGATAAAATTAACATGTAAGAATTACAAAATACCAGTTCATGATCAGCTGATAAAAATTGGGCTGCTGGATAAATTTCTTTATGTAAAAATTATGAAAAGAAAATCAAAAACTGATGCAAGAACAGGCTACTTAAGTGTCTTCGGGTGGTATTAATAATAAAAATCAAACTAACAAAAATATGATGATTGTTGCATAGTTGTGGGACTTCCAAATGTAATGCCTTGCTCCTTTGTAATCTGCATCTGCCTGCTAAAGTAAAGGTAAACTCTTAGTTGATCTAAAATGTTATTTTGAAAATTGGTTAAGTTTTTTGGTAATTTAGGTATTTTTCAACCAGATTAGTCATCACTCATAAATTTGTATCTGCATTCATGAAGATACAGTATAGGTTGTCACTTTTAAGTAAAACTTTGAGGAATAGCCTGATAAAATAATCTCAAAACTTAAGCACTCTGAAAATTGTCAGGTATAGAATTTAATTTTATGGTTTTGAATATGCTCTATTCATTCAAAAGGCCTCACCTCTACATTTTTGTAAGTATTTTCTTGGTATATTTTGAGAGGTATCTTTGAATTGCATAACAGATATGTTTATATTATTTAGGTATATATTACCTTTTATTAAATCAGGTGTTGGTATAGAACACCAACCAACCAGTGGTTCTATTTCTCAGGTATATGTAAATTGCCAAAGTAGTTTATTGGTTTGTCTAAGGTACTGGTTGAAGTAAATTTGTGATCTTTAAAATGCCTCATTAACAGCAAAATTATAATTGAGTGTGTGTGTGTGTGTAGTATAGGCTCTATAATACTGTTTAATAACTTCTTAATGGAGTATTCAGTAAATTGCTTAAAAATAATTTCCCAATATAATAACAATTTTGAGTAGCATTATGTGGTAAATGTTATATTTACCTGAAAATAAGGAAACCTTTAGGTAGTACTAAAGAGGCATATATTCAGGCTTTGTATAGTGATTTTTTTGAGACATTAACCACACGCCTCACAAAATTGGAATTAACCACACTTTTTAGCTTAAACACTTTGCTACATAATTTTAACAGAACTGCCATTTTTGATATCACATTAATTCTATACACTGTACTAATTTTAAATAGGTCATAGTTTTTAATTTTCTCATGCCTTTAACTCTGTCATATCCTATTTTCAGCTCTTCTAGTCTCAGTAGGCTTTAAAGATTTATTTTTTGTTAACCCAAGTATCAATATTGACTGTTGGCATTTGATTACAAAGAAGGCAACTGTGAATTAATCCAAAGTGCTGAAGAACTCAGGGGTGTTCTGCAGGGTGGAAGTAACGAGATAGATTCTGGTTTAATAAAAAGAATTTTTCCAAAATGTTGGGGTAAGAGCAACCTCTTCATGACAAATCATGAGCCCTTGGAAATTTGCAAATGTAGAAAAGCTTGGTAGAAGAAATATGTAATGAGGGAGTCTCTTCAGACAGAGTAGGAAGTTGATTGAAGACCTGTAAAGTCCATCCAACACTAAAATTCTGTGACTAATGAATAGGTTTTACATATTTGATACTGAAGAGGGTAAGCAAGAGTTTTAAGAAAGACTGCTTTCCTTAAAGTGGCTCCTAAAATTTTTAGATAAGTATGTTACTAGAATAAAATAGGAGCAGAACTATACTGAATTCACTACAGTGACTTACAGTTATTGGAACTATTTATCTTTACCATTACAATATCTGAACCTAAAAAAACACTGATAAAAAAGGGGGCAGGGAAAGATGTGCAAGGGGGTTTTCTCCCTAAAGAATAATGCCACATGAAACTAGTAAAATTGATACACAATATTAAACTTAAAAGTCATTAATTAGTAAGCTGGATACCCATTCAAATATGTCTCAGATCTCAGTTTTCCTGGCAATTTCAGTATTCAGTAGCTTAAGGCACTGTACCAGGTCTTGATCACAATTGGGATTTTGTTGATGGTTTAACTGAAGAATCAAAGATTAATGGGCTTAAGCAAGTAAGTTATTCCTGTATCTTCCATTTTGACACCTAAATTTCCCTTTGGTAACCAATTAAATTTCATATTTCCTTTATTATTTAAATGGATATTCCGCCTTCATTTCCACCATGTTATAAAGCCTGAGTTTTGACATCTAAACCCTTTTTTTTAAATCTTTGGCCACCTTAGGTCTGGGTACATCCATTGTTCTTTGCCTTCAGCTATTTTCATCAAACATATCAAAGTGAAAACTATTTGAATAGGAAATGATTTTTTATAGTTATTTTTATGTCAAGTCCGAAGGCCTAAGGTAATTCAACAGGATAGTTAACCTGTGCTAAAATACTTATTCCCCTGAGAAATCCTGAAAGACACATTTATATAAATAGTCTTGAAAATACTGTACAGTACAGTTGATGGTAAAAATTGTTTGTAGATTTGGGAACCTTAAAGTTTTCCTTTCTCTTCTTTCCCTTGCTTTTCTTTCAGTAGAAAATGTGCATCAGATGTTTATGTTTAATTGGTTTACAGACTGTCTGTGGACTCTTTTCCTGTCAAATTACCAGGTAATGTCCTTTCACTTAGCAGCTACTTCATTTACCTGTAAATGCAGTTAATTCGTGCACAAATTATTATTGGACGTAAGAATTTCAAGTTATGTTGGATCTTTAGAACTAGGCAACTACTTGATAAGAGTCTAGAATTCGAAGAAAGTACATATTAAGAAAACTGCCTACCCCCTTCTGCATTGTAAGTTAAGTATTAATTTTAAGAAATATTGTATACGTACACATTTATGCAGTACTGTAGTGCAAACACATTTCTCATATTTGGTTGATTCTCATATTTGGTTGATTTTGGTAGTCATTTCTGAAACTGCATTTCGAGGAAGCCTTGAACATTGGGGGAAAAAAACGATTTTTTTTAAGACTTAACTCTTGTTTAGTAAAATATGTTAGTGCCCATTTTAATATCACCTTTGCATTAGCCAGTATTTGCCTTAGTTATGTAAGTCGAACATGTTTATTAATTTATAGACATTGGCTCTGGCAATTGGAATTGGCATTAAGACCAATTGGCAGGTCTAGGCTCATACATTAAAATAAACTCAAATTGCTGGCATTTCAGGCATTGTAAAGAAGCAGGTTCTCCCTTTCTGCAGTCAAATCAGATTATAGCCATCAAAGAGCAGCTTTTCAGTATGTTATATTTTAGAAATTTTTCCTAGTTGTGCAAAATCCAACCCTTGCACAACTGTGTTGCTACTGATATCACAGAACGTCTGTGAGGAAACACATGAGCTCCGAGTTTGGCAGACTACCTAATGTAGTCCTTAATCCCTTCTGGCCTCTCTTAAGAATTTGGGATATGGGATTTTACGTTCCAGTCGGGAATGAACGGAGAGAGACATCTCTGTCTAGGGATAACCGCTTTCAAAGCTCACTACTCGGCGTTGTTGCATTGCAACAACCGCCGTCTTCCAGCACATGCACTTCAGAAAAGGCCTATAGTAAAATAGCACGTATTTTCCCCAGCGATATAAATGCTTAGATGTGAGCGGGTTGCCACCTTTCCTTGACCTGCGCTCCCTCGACTCCCCGAGGCTGGTGGAGTGGGGAGCTCCCGGGCCGGGGAGGGGCGGCGCAGAGATGCCCACTGCCCCCTGGCTCCGCCCCCTCCGGCTCTTCCCGGGGAGGGAGGGCTGTCGCGGGGCTGCGCGCGCGTCCCTGTTCCCGCGCGCGCGTCGGCCTTTCCCTCCGGTCCGGCTCAGCCCGAGCGCCGCGAGGGGGCGGAGTGGGGTGTGGTGGGCGCGTTCGGGGCGGCTCCTGCGCGTTCCCGCCGAGGCAGCGGCGGCAGAGGCGGCGGCAGCGGCGACAGGAGTCCCGTTGCCGAGTCTCACATCCGGGTTCTGGCGGTGACCCAGCGGCGGCCGCCGGAGATGTGACCGTCAGTACGGCAAACATGGCGGAGGTAAGGGAGCGAGCTCCCCCTCCCCGTCCCGGGCGGCCCCGGGCCCCGGCCGGGGAGGAGTGGAGTGGGCCTGGCTGGGAGAGGCCCAGCCTGCCGGCGCCGCTGCCCACCTGTTGTCCGGAACAGGCCGCGCTCTGGGCGGGAGCTTTCCCTGGAAGTTAGTTGGGATGGGGGGGCGGGGGGAGGCGGGGGCGTAGTTGGACTTCGGGGGGAGTTTGAAGGGTCGGGGGCTGCGCGGCTCTGCGTGCCGAGCGGGGTGAAGGGGCGCCCGCGGGGGCTGGGGCGCGGGTGGCGCAACTTCGCCGGCGGGTGCGAGGGGCCGAGCGGAGAGCTGCCGCTTCCTCTTGCGAAGTTTCTTGCCCGGCGGCCGAGATGCTGTTGCGCCCTTCCGCGTCACCCCCACCCGGGCGCTCTGACACCAGGCTCTTGGGGGGAGACGGGCGGAATGGCCTCTCGGGAACACTGTAATTTTCTTGATGTTGATGAGTGAAGAACCGAACTTGGCCATTTGCGATCCGGCCCTGTGGGTTGGGGGACTCTACCCGGTTTCTCCAAATAGCTGCAGTACACCCCCCCCCCCCCTTGAAATTCAGAAGAGTTGTTTTTTTATCTTTACCTCCTTTACTTTCCAGCCCCCCCCCCCCAATTGAAGGCTATTCTTGTGTGTGTGTGTGTTTTTCCTAATTTTTTTCTCCCTCGGGTAGTAGATTTTTTTTCTTTTCGCTCTTTTTCTAGTAAACTACTTCCTAAAGTCATTTTTCTTCGGTGGTAATTTTTGGGGCCTCTAATCCATGGACAAAACGTAACTTGTGATTAATTTAAATTAGTGCGTGTGCTACTAGAGATTTAAATATGTGCGTGTGATTAAAACCTTTAAACTTTTGAAGTTGGGTGGGGGTGTATTTAAAGAATTTTTTTCCCCTTATCCTCAAGAATTTCGTTATTCTTTACCCCTTGGAGTTTAAGAGGTGATATATTTGAACTTTTATGTCTCCTTTGAAATAAACCACTCTTAAATGATAGATAAAGCATTTTTCTTTTGTGCTTTACCATTTTCATGGTCTCAGAGGCACCTATAAACAGATTCAGGAAGTAGGTAATTTTATTTAGCATTCCGCCCCCGATTTACGATTTACGTCTTAGTTATTTGTTAGATGAAGTCAACATTAGGTAGTCAACCCCGTAATACCTTCTTTTTAAAATTTAGGATACAGAAATATGATTGGGGTTTTGGAAAATTATTCATTTGGAGGCCTTTTCATTTGTTGATTGGAGGGACCTAAATGTTAACTTTTATGGGGTAATTTTTAGGGTGCTTCTCTACTTCCCTTGTGGAAACTGGACTTGAGTATATGTTCTGGAGTATTTGTTTAAAGACGAGGCTTTACTGTTTAGCAGGAGTGTTTACTGCTAATAAGCTTTTCCAAAAATTTCCTATTTCTGATTTGAAACTAAATTGAGATCATAAGTTTATTTCCATTTTTTTCCCCTCGGGTAAAAGAATTGTATTTCAAGGCACATGAGTTGGAGAAAAGTATTTTGTATTTCACTTGAGTGTGAATGGATTTACTACACTGGACTGAAAGAATTCTAGTGCTTAAGAGATACTTGTTTCTTTTCTTCATTTTTAAGAAAAAGAGGTTATATATAGCTGGATTTACATGTATTTTGTCAAATTGTTTTCAATGAATTCTCCTTTCAGTGAATGCCCATTTGATAAGCAGCAGTACCCTATAATAGGTTATTGTAGTTTCTTTTCTCTTGGTGTTGCTCGCAATGGTTTGAGCTTAAGTTCTGCAGTCATATTTTAAGGAAGCATGTTATTGAAGGAAAATAGCTTGGTGTATGAAAGTACAGTGAAAAATAATTTTTTTAAAAAACTTCACCCGGATCTTTTAACTTCATAACACACTGAGAAATTAATATGTAAATGAAATATATTAATATTTTATTACTTGTTTTAGAAATTAAAGGTGATTACAGTGTTGTGAGAAAAAGCAGTAGTTTGAATCACTAATCAGTTCTTAATGTTTTCAAGTATATGTTTCTTGGGAATATGTCCATTGGAGAAGGGGATACTCATTTTATAGGAAGTTCTGGGTAGCCAATTTAAAGAAGAAAAAGTCGGAATTTTGTTTTCACTGTATTTTGTGACCTGATAACTTTAAATAATTCATCTTTTATATTCTTCAGTTACTTGTAGATGGTTTTATTAATAGTGGAGTTGAAGAATGGAGGGACCAACTTTGCCTGTATTCTACAAAAAGTTAAACCAGGTCAAGAGGTGAAAAGTAAAATTAATTTCTAATTTTCTGAGCACAATACTTTAGTAATTAGGATAATTTTGGAGACTAGTCATTTTAAAATATTAGATGGAGAAATGGCTTGTTTTCTAATTCTTTCACTTGCTTTTTGTGAGCTCTCGGGAGATTTATTCTTTCTGATACCAATAGAAAGCATGCGCTAAAATAATTCTCATGTTTTTCTGTTGCACTTTTGATTAAGTAGACATGAGGAAACTAACTGGTGTAAAACTAACTGGTGAAGTAACAGTAAGTTCAAAGCAACAATATGCATTTATTTGATAAATCTGAGGGGAAAACAGGTCATTGAAGAAGCCTGTCTCTAGAGAAAAATGTAGGTGTTAGGCTTCTGGGTTTTTTATGTTGTTGTTTCCTACATAGGAAAAGGACCCTGACCTTGTTTTTCCAGAAAAATGTCTAATTCTTGAATACAAATTGCTTTAGATGTGAAGAGAATAATTTTTCATAGTTGATCTGATTATCTGAGGCAATCTATAATAGCAGTATATATATTTAACGGTTCTTCAAGTTGTGGTTACATTAAAAATGATATTTAATGTACTTAAAAGAAATGGCATATGCTCCCTTTCTTAATACTTTGGTAATATTTTGCATTGCTCATTATCCCTTAAAATTATTTATCAACATTCCAAAAGGAGGTACTTCTAGTCACACTTCAAGGAAGGAAATTACAGGGTAGTCACAGTTTCACAAAGGCAGAGAGAAAGAATAAGAGGAAGAAATAGTTGATCCTTTGGGTTTTATATGGAATGTGGCAGAGGGGCCTTTGGGAATGAATAATTTGTCTTTTATTTCAGTGTTTGTAAACACATAAGAGATTTTCTTCTCAAGGCAAAAAAAGCCACAGCATACTGCAAGACCTATCTTTTTCACCACGGCTATGTTGCTGTCATACAGGAAAAAAAAAAAATAATAATGAACTTGCTTCTTTGAATTAGTGTTAAGTATTTTAGTATTTCTAAAAATGATTATTCACTCAAATCTATTTCTCTCAAAAGCAGACTCATTTCTTTTTGAGTATATTTGGGTTGCGTGTGTGTGTGTTTGTGTTTTTGAAGGAAGTAGGATCATCTTGACTGCTGTTAATGTCTACTCTGAACAAAATTTGTTTGACTGCAGTGAATTTAGGCTTTAATTCTCTATACTGGTAATGAAATTAAAAAAAAAATATTGTTTAGAGCTGTTAAGGGTTTATCCAAAGTAGTCAAGAATACTAATACGTAAGTCCTAAGAAGCTAATTAATTCCGAGGGAGTTAGAGTCAAAGTTCTT